AAGCACATAAAGAGCCAGGGATGTAGCTCAGTACACAGTGCCTGCGTGGCAAGCATGAGGCCCTGAGTTTGATTCTTGGTACAAATGAAAAAGAAAGGAAGGAAGGAAAGAAAGAAATAAGGAAACAAACAAACAAACAAACTATACCACCCCTTTTAAGTATATAATTCATTGGCTTGTAGCTATTTGCTAAGTTGTTCAGCCATCACTGAAATCAGTTTAGTGCCTTTTCATCACCCCCAAGCCCCCTAAACCCCAAACCCATGACCCTCTTACCCAGTGCCTCCCAGCCCTCCATTTCCTTCTGGTCCTCCCAGCACAGCCCTAGGCAAACCCTTGTCCACCTTCACAGTGTCTTTTCTAGACACCTCAGACAATACGGTCTGTTGTGATGGCTTTTTCACTTAATGTAATGTTTTCAAAGTTCACCCTCCGCCCTTTTTTCTTCTGTGGTGCTGGGAATTGACCCTAGGACCTTCACAATGAGCTGCATCCTCTACACTTTGTATGTTTTTATTTTGAAACAGAATCTCACTAAATTTCTCAGGCAGGACTTGAACTTGCAATCCTCCTGCCTCAGCTTCTCAGAGTGCCGGGATTTATGAGCATGTGCCACCACTCCTGGCTTAAAGTTCACTCATATTTCAACATATATCAGTGCTGAATTTCTTCTACAGCTGGATGATATCCCCTTGTCTGAAAAGATCACATTTGGTTTATCCATTCATCAGTTGGGTTCCTGGGTTGTCCTTGGGTGTTAAAAATTACTGGCTGCTATGGACATAGGTGTTCAAGGTTTTGCAGTAACTGTGTCTTCATTCCTCTGAGTCTGGGGGTGGAATTGCAGGTCACATGGCCACTTTATGTTTAACCTTTTGAGAAACTGCCACTGTTTTATATTCTCATCAACAACACATCATGATTCTAATTTCCATTCAAAGGTTTTTGTTTAGTTTTAGAGGGGCCAGTGTGGAGGCACTGCAGACTGAACCCAGGGCCGCCTCTTTTTTTGAGGCAAGGCCTTACTATGCAGTTCAGGCTGGCTTTGAGGTGATGGCAATCCTTCTGCCTCAGCCTTCCAAGTACTGGGATTACAGGCCTGCACCATCACAACCGGTCTTTTCTTAAAACAGAGGGGTGTGGTGGTGCACACTTGTAATCCCAATATTCTGGGGAAGCTGAGGCAGGAGGATGTCAAGTTTGAGCATACCCTCAGCAAGTTAGTAACTTAGTGGGACTTTGTCTCATAATAGAAAAAAACAGAGAGAGAGAGAGAGAGAAATTTTAAGGGACTAGGGATATAGGCTAACAGTGAAGGCCTTAGGTTCAATCCCCAGACTGCAAAATAAGTAAAGAAATCAATAATAAACGAACAGCACAATGTGACTTCGGGAGGACGGCGTGCTCAGGTAAGTTCAGAAAAAGGAAGGAGCGGTCTCCATGGTGGTTTAGGCAGGGGCTGGGTCAGGCCCCGGTACCGGGACCCTATGGGGACAAATCTGGAGGTGGCTGGCACTGCCGGACACGGTCTTTTCCGTGCCCGGGCGGCCCCGCTGAGGAGCCCCCTTCTCCCCCAGGAGCTGAGGATCCTGGTGGACTACGACGAGAAGGGCTACCTCCTGCAGATCTTCACCAAGCCCATGCAGGACCGGCCCACGCTCTTCCTAGAGGTCATCCAGCGCCACAACCACCAGGTACGGCTGGGCCCAGGCCGGACCCTCCGGCCGGACCCTCCTCGGCCGCAGGGCAGATTCTGCGGGGTCCCGGCTCACCTGCTCTCCCCGCCCAGGGGTTCGGAGCCGGCAACTTCAACGCGCTGTTCAAGGCTTTCGAGGCGGAGCAGGACCTGCGAGGCAACCTCACGGATCTGGAGCCCAATGGAGTGGCGTCCGGCATGTAGGCCCCGCCCACCCCAGGTCCCGCCCAGGACACGCCCACACCAAGCCTCTCCCGTTGGTCACGCCCTCCAGAGGCCACGCCCCCTCGCGGAGCCGCTCCCGCTGGCTCCTCCCTCCCGAGTAAAGCGGCCTGGGAAGGAGGCGGTGTCTGTGGTTTCCTGTCTGTGCCCGGCGAGGAGCAGTGGCGCACGTGTGCCGCCAGGGGGAGTCAGAGGCCCGCGTCCAGGTTAGGGGACCCCAGCGGCGCAGCGCGACCTGGGCAGGCACTGATGCGAAGGGCATTTCTGCAATCGGTAGGACAGGCAATATCATTTTATCGCAAATGCGGACGGTGAAGCAGGTGATGAGAAGCCTGGCGTGATGGCCCACGACTGTAATCCCAGCACTCGGGAGGCCGAGGCAGGAGGATTGTGGCACCAAAGGTCTCAGGGTAACTAGCTTCCATAGAAGGAAGACCCCCGTGATAAAAGGACACTTGAAGGCCAGCCATGGAAAAAGTATCCCAGGAAGAGGGAACCGCTGATAGATTTGTGGTCCTGAGTATAACTCGGTTTTGTTGCTCAGAGTGTGCGGGATGGGAGCGTTGGCAGGGGACCCTGCTCTGCACCCGCAGGACACAGTTCCTCCCTGTTTAGGCAGAGAGTATGAGGGATCCAGCTTCTGCCCTGCACCCTAGGCCCGGGCACCAGTGTCCCACCCAAGGCAGCGGCACCGTCCCCTCTCCACTAGGGACCACGCCTTTGGGAAAGGGGTTTGTTTATACTCAAGTGTGAGTGGGCATGAAGGCCAGACTGCACTACACGTTGAGACCCCGCCTCAGAAAAAGACAGAGAAAAAAAGCATGAGACATCTGAAGAAGAGGAGCTGATGCCTAGTGCTCAGAAGAAGCAGGGCTGAGCAGGATCTGGGAGCGCAGCTCCATGGAGAGCATTACCCAGCAAGCTCCAGGCCCCAGCCACGCAGGGTTTGAAGGAGGGGTGGGGTTAAGGTTGTTCCTGGTTCTTCTGCTTTCAATGATTGCTACCCCTAACTCAGGAGTCAGCTCAGAACCGGCTGGGCGAGGAAACTATCTGAGTGGGTATGATGAGGAATCAGGGGTTTCTTCTTCCAAATCAGAGGAAAAAATATCAGGGTCTCTGGAATCTTAAACTTCAGAAATGAAAAGAACCAAGAGGAGCAGGGTCCACCCAGGGCCATGCAAATGTCCTCTCCCTCTGTTGCCCGGCTCATGCAAAGACGGGGAAATTCTATAACCCAGAAGGTTGCAAACTGGCAGCTTCTGGGCAAAACTTGGCTCACACATATATTCTATTTTGCTTGCAAACAAACAAGTGGATATTTTAGAAAGTTGGTCTATCTCACAAATTCCAGGACCTGGGTTCACGGAGCTGTTATCTGCCTCCCCCATACACCCCACTCAGTGCTCCCGGTGGTGGTGGGGTTGTTTTTCCTCCCTTCCCCCAACCCACTCCACCCTCAGTTGTAGCCCTGAGGCCCCCTTGCTCTCCCTGCCACAGGGCCTTTGCATGGCTGTCCCTCTTGCCTGGAACCCTCCCCACCGATGGCCACAGGGCTGATGTGTTTTCTTTCTGAGTTTTGTTCAAATGTCAGCTCAGCAGACTTCCCAGAGTCTTCATTACAAATTTCAGCATCTACCCACCGTGGCCACCGATAGCTCCTTCTCCTTATTGGAGCATTTCTTCTTGTTGTTCGTACCCACAAGGACTTGGGGCGTATTCTTTTCATTGTTGCAACTTGTGCCTGGAGCAATGCCTGACACATCCTACAGTAGCTGCTCAATAAATATTGGTGGAACCAGGCCTGGTGGCGCATGCCTGTAATCCCAGCACTCAGGAGGCTGAAGCAGGAGGATCGCTGTGTACAAGGCCAGCCTGAACTGCGTAGTGAGATCCTGTCTAAATAAAGACATACATACGTACTGGTTGAACAAATGAATAGCCTAGAGGCACCTCCTCTTTCCTGGCACAGCTCTGACCCCAGCTTTCTCTGCACAGTACGACCCCCCTGGACACCCAGTTCCTAAAACCAGCCCACCATTCATGCAGCTGCAAAGAAGGTGCTTATCCATGTCACTGTTTCGAGACTGTCGGGCTAAATCCCTGATAACGGAAATTTGGACCTAGGGTTTTTGTGCATTTTGGACTGATGATCAAAATAGGATCTCACCATGAAGTTTAACCTGGTCCGGAACTGCAAAGCCCAGGCTGGCCTCAAACTTGCTGTCCTCCTGCCTCAGCCTCCTAAGTGCCAGGACCTCAGGCATGCACCATGCCTGGCTTACGTATTTTCAACACTTGTCAGGATCTAACTTTTCCTCCTAAAGGTTGCAGCCCTTCCGCTTCTCCTCACCTTCTGCCCACAGACACAAGAGTATTTTGTAACTTTTGGTGCTGGCCAGTTTGGCAGGAGAAAGGGTCTGGTGGTGTCACTCACATTGCTGGACGGGGCAGGAGGGTTGCTTGTGGCAGACTTGCTTTTTGTCTGACCTTGGACTTCGTCTAACTGCCTCACCATGCCCCATGGCCGCATGGCCCCACGTCGGACACTACAGACCTCTGGGGACAAGAACTGTGCTTCATCCTGACTTCCTCCCATCAAACGCAGACCCTTGTTTGACTGAGGGCTGAGCCCAGGGCCTTTGCACTGAGCTACACATCCAGCTGTTTTCATCTTTTATTTTGAGGCAGTGTCTTACTAAATCATTTTGCCTGAACTCCAACTTGGGATGTTCCTGCCTCAGCCTCCCAGAGTGCTAGGATTACAAGTGTAGGACAGACACCAGGCCAGGTTAGCGTTAAATATTTTTGAGGAACCCAGTTTTAGAGATGGCAACAGGCTACCTGATCTTGCTCCCCCTGATTGGATTCCCAAGGTTTTGTATTAAATCTACAAGAAAAACTTCAAAGCTAGGAGGTGTAGCCTGTGCTGGACTCGGGCCAGTTCAGACTGCCTTCGGGCAGAGCTGAGGCTCCACGGCCACACCACACCCCAGCTCCTGCCCTCCCACTTCCTGTGGGCAGGGTGCCCACTCAGCAGAGAGGAAGAGCGGGGAGAGGGAGAGAGGAGAGCAAGAGACGGCGATCTCTGTAAGAAAAGTCAGTATATTTATGGTTTGCTTTATAAAAGTTACTATAATACAATGGTACATAGTATTGAATTCACAAAAATATGAACAAATATTTACAGCAAGACACACCCACAAGGGAAACACTTCTCTTCAAAACAAGTGACATATGGATGGCAGAGTCTATGTACAAACAGCCCTAAAGTTTATCTGTTCTCTTCTTTGCAGAGGGAGAGGAAAAAAAAAAGGAAAAAAAAAAAAAGCAGAACCCTCCCCCTACACTTCAAAAGTAGAGATTTGTTCAACGCAGGGGGAAATGGGCCAACACATAACGTGGATTATTGCAAACCATTCCGGAGTCACCCGGGGACTTGGGGAGAGGGGCCGGCCTCTGCAGGCACACGGCCGCCGGGCGACCCGGGCTGCGGCCAGGCCAGGGTTCCAGTGGGTTCCCCTGGTCTCTCCCACTTGTTTAACGGGGGGATAGCATGAAGACAGCCCCTTGGGGGTTGCATAAGTAACTTAAGTCAGCCGTCTCTACAAGCCACACCATTTCCACGTGTAAAAAATAAATATTTCCTCAGTTGCACAATTAGGCGGAAAACTGCATCGGAAGAGAAGGTCGCCGCTGGGCCCAGGTAAACCCGTCTCTGTGTTAAGGCCACTGATTTCCCAGACCTTTGGAAACCCGTGGGCACAGTCGCACACAGAGAGGGCCTGGGGAGAAGAAATTAAAAAAAAAAAACACAACAAAACCACCAACGACAAAAAAAAAAGAGAAAAGGAAAAAATAACAATTCTTTGTACAGAATTTACATGATAACAAGCTTGACACAAGCTGAGATACCAGAGGCGGCCGCCAGCCGTCTGCAGAGCGGGCTCAGACGCATCTCGGTGGGGACCCGTGGCCGGTCCGGAATGATGTACACGCCGGCTCTGCTTTCGGGGGACTGGGGACTTGCTTTTGTGTGTCTTTTTTTTTTTATTTTTTGTGGGTTTTTTTTTTTTTTTTTTTTTTGGAAGTACAAAGAAATGAGCAAAAAAGTCTTCCCACATGTTTCTACAAGAAACAATGTTCCCAAGAAAAAGTCCTTTATGGCAGTCTATATACAGAAGTTGGTTCTGAACTTCAAAAACCTATTTTTTTCCCTTCGTTTTGATTTTATACACGCACAAAAAAAAATTCATGGAAATAAACCCTGAAAAGGAGGGGTGGGGGGAAGAGGGAGAAAGGGTGAGGGAGGGGGAAGCTGTCAAAAGACGTAGAAGATCTGAGTTTTAAAATCTTTCGCAAGATTTTCCTTTCTCTGGGAGAAACAAAATGCTCACTCCGAAAATAAATATGCTCTAGCAGAGCTGGGAGAGGGGGCCACAGCCGTGGGGTGAGCGGAAAGCTTATCAACAGAAATGCCACACACACGTGGGTTCAGGCAACCCGTATGGCGGGGCTGGGGGACCCGCCTGCCCGGGAGCCCCTTGGCCTGGCCGGTGAGGGCAGCAGAGGCCGGAGACCGCTGTCCTGCGCTCTGCCTGCACTGGGCTCCCTCGTTGCTGGCATCTGAATGAGAAAGTAAACATCGAACCCAAGAATTTGGGGGCGGGCAGGGTGGCGCAATCTGGCCGCTGAGGAGTGGGCCTCGGCTCGGGGTGTCCAGGGGCACAGAGGCCTCTCGGGACGTCCTGGGTCGCACCGATGGGACACAGGGCCACGTGAGGCCTCCGCCGCCCCACTGAGCCCCTCTCATTCTGCCTTCACATTTCAACGGTTAAAATGTCTTTTCTTAGATGGGCAGGGGAAGGAGGAGGACACACAGACATAGCAGCATCCACAGAAGAGACCGGCGCTGGCGGTGAGGGCGGAAGGGACTGCAGGACATGGAGGGAGGGTGCAGGGGACACGGGCGGGGTGGACAGAGACGGGTTGGTATCAGAGCTGAACGAGATCCTGTAAGGAGCATTTTTTTTTTTTAAATGAAAGAGACACAGGTGAGAGACAGAAGCCCTTTCCGCGGCCAGGCGGGAGCTGCGGGCCGGGCCTGGGTAGTGTTGGGGCGCCAAGCCCTGCTGAGGCCAAGGGACAAGGGACAGCACCTGAAATGGGGGGCGTGGTTGGCACCACAGGCCTAGTTGAGGGTCCCCCGGCAGTTCTCAGAGCCACAGAGGCAGGGGATCTTCACGTCCTCGATGGGGAACTTGTAGTCGTAGGTTATCTCCTCATTGACACTGATGTGCTGCTTCGAGTAGATGACGATCTTCTTCTGCGACTCCACCGTGATGACCTTGGCGTAACAGTTGGGCTGCGGGCAGGGGGAGGGGGCGGTAAGGCCCAGAGACAGCCCTCGGCCCTTCCTGCTGGTGAGGTCCCCCAAGCTCCAGACGGCCTCACACCCAGGGCCTGACTCAGGGCCACAGAAGCCCATACCCAGCGGCACACGCCTGCAATCCCGGGACTCTTGGAGGCTGAGGCAGGAGGATCCTAACTACAACCTGGGCAGCTGAGTAACCCATCCAGACCCTGTCTCGATTTTAGCACAGGAGCTGCCAGGGGGGGAACACGCAGATCCTTCTCAAATTAGAAAAGGGCGGGGATGTAGCTCCATGCAAGGACCCTGGCTTCAGTCCTTACTGAAAGAGAAAAAGCAATGGAAATAACTTCCTGGCTCTTCTGCTTTCACTGAGGTGAATCCTCAAATTATGTGGCCTCACTCTGAGCTGTGATACAGTGGTCGTAACCTGCGGTGTCAGGGCCTGTCTTCAGCTCCCGCAGCGGGGTGAGGGGGACACTATCACCTACCCATTCCTCTACCTCCTTGTTATTTTTTGAGACGGGGTCTTGTTAAGTTACGCAGGTGGGACCTGATTTGGGACCTTCCTGCCTCGGCCTTGCGAAGCGCTGTGTGACAGGCCTGTGTTGTGCTGCCTCTAGGGTTCCACGGGCACAGGGACTCGCAGGCCACCTCGCCGTCCACCCCTTGGTCTGGGGTTCTTTTTCCAACAACTGTCGGGTTGGTTTTTGTTTTCTGTGGCACTGAAATTGAACCCAGCGTCCTTGCACTGAGCTTCCTCCCCAGCTCTTTTCTCCCTACGGCACTGAACTGCCCAGGCTGAGTTTGCGCTCGCCACCCTGCCTCAGCCTCCCCCCAGGTGCTGGGTGACAGACGTGCACCCCTGTGCACTGCACAATGCAGTTAGAGAGCTGCTGCGGAGCCCTGTGGGCACAAAGCCAGACGTGTACCGCCAGGCCTTTCCCAGGGCCCTCCAGAGCATGGACCCCAGCAGCCACTGGCTGTGCCTGCTGTGCCACTCCATGGGCGCCAGGTGGTGGCCAGCCATACACTCAGGCCCTGCGCCAACCTCCCGGCCTCCATGGCTACCCGCTCGGCCCCACCATGCAGGACTCACTCTCCCAATGACCTCTGAGGTGGCCCACACAGCCAGGCCTCTGTCACAGTGCATCTGCACCTCGCAGGTCCTGTGGCCACTCTCGCCCAGAAAGAATCTACTCCTGACTAGCACATGGGGACAGTTTTCCCAAGGGGCAGCAAATCCGTCCTCCCAGGATACCCACTCCAGCGGGGCTGGGACCTGAACCCAGGGCCTGCTTGGGCTGCAGCTCCTCAGCCAGGCCAATGAGGCTGAGTGACCAGGCTGGGCCCAATTCTCCCACTCTTGGCTTTTCCCACCCTGATGCCAACCCTCAACCCTGTGTCTTCTCTGCTGCCCCAGGGCCTTTGACCACACCTTGCCCTTCACCTGCAACGATGCCCCACCCTCCATGACACCCCAGCATGGCTCTCTTGTCTCTCAGATCTCAGAAGTTGCTGACTGCCGCAAGGTCTCAACCGGCGCCTCTCCTGGACAGTGACTGTGTCACAGTCCTGAGAGCTGCCCTGTCTCCGACCTAAAGTAACTGTTCCACTGGAACCTGCTAAGTAGCAATGCCAGTGTTGGTCCTCGGTTACACTGGTCCTGTCTCAGGGTCAGCATCACACGTGGCCACTCCACATGGACAGGAGCACACGTGACGGGAGGCTACCACCCTGGAGAGCTCTGTGATGAACAGTTCCATCCTGTGGAGCCTGTTCGGGGAAGGAGCTCCAGGGTCACCGCCAACTGGACCAGCACTTTCCCCAGCACCTGTTATCTTTGTCACTGGCTGCACAAGACTGACAGTGCCTGTTTTATAGAGCAGGCTCCAGACCTCAGGGGACAAAGCCTCCATTTTTGTTTGGTTTTGTGAGACAGGGTCCTGCCATGTAGCCCAGGCTGGCCTCGAACTCCAGTGATCCTCCTGCCTCAGCCTCCTGAGTGCTGAGATTACCACCCAACCTGGCTAAGGACGATCTTTGTACAGCCTCATGTCCCTCCTGTCACCACCACGGGAGCAGGCTGGGGAAGGGAGGCGGTGTGGCGCTGCTGGCAGGTGGGCGGGCACTCACATTGCAGCTGTGGTTGATGAAGCGGGCGAAGTTGCCGCACTTGGTGGCATCGATGATGGTGTCGTGGTCAACCCGGAACATGTAGCTGCTGCCGATGCCCTCGTCCTCGTACCTTTTCTCCCGCATGTCCGCAATTACCTGGTCCCAAAGGACGTCCTGTCAGTGACGGCCTGGCCTGTGCCCCTGCCCTGACCCAGCCCGCAGGGCAGCGCCTACCTGGCGGATGTTCTGGCCCACGTACTCGATGACCATCTCGTCGGCCGCAATGGGCTCCATGGCGAACAGGCCCCAGTCGTGGATGTGGCTCTTGCAGAATTTCAGCTTCTTCTTCCGGAACTGCAGGGGGAGGAGTAAGCCGGGTCCCAGGTTTACCCACTTCCTCCCTCCCTGGCTGCCCAGGCCCGGCGGGGCGGGCAGGGGCCTCACCTTGAGCTGGTTGAACTTGAGCAGGTCGCTGTCACAGCTGCCAGTGAAGGAGGACAGCAGGCGGCGCTGCTCCGACCGCCGCTCCGAGCCAGCCCGGGTGGAGGCGTGGGGCTGCGCAGGGATGCTCATGCCCTGTGGCCGGAGGGGGCCGGAGGGCGGGTTAGGACAGACAGGTTAGGGCAGACAGCTGCGGGCCGGGGCGGTGCCATCAGGGCAGCGCCGTCTGGAGCTCTGGTTACTCTGGGCAGTCTGTCCCTCTCTACCCAGAGTGGCTTCTCTCCTCCCTGCTTCCCAGCTTCGGCCAATGCACCCCAGTGCTTCCAAGGGGAAGCGCACAGCGCTGCTGTCAGCAGCCTCTCAGCTGCCAACCCCAGCTCCGAGGACCGCAGGGCCTCCTGACCTCCGCGGCCCCAGGACCTCAGGTCTTTCTCCCGCACTGGCAGCCCTTTCCACTCAGCTCTGCAGCTCCCATCCTCCCCAGGTGGGCTCCAACCTCCTCCTGTCCTTACCAGCAACCACCTTCCCCTCCCAGCCCCCTAAATCCAGCAGACACCCATGTCAGGCCTGGAAACCCCAGCACCACAGTACCATCACCCCGCAGGGCACCGCCATGGGGTGCCTTCTTTGAAGGTGAACTACTGGGTATGAGAAGCTGCCCTCCAGCCTAAACTTTCTGTTTGGTTTTTTGAGACAGGGTCTGGCTGTGTGACCGAGGCTGGCCTAGAGCTCCTGATCCTCCTGCCTCAGCCTCCCAAGTGCTAGGATCACAGCATCTCCACCGTGCCCAGCCTGCCTATTTTCCCCGCGGCATCTACACATCCTGAGGGACCTGCTCTTTTGCATGTGACTGCTTCTCGCCCCACTAGGCGAGCTGTCCAAGAACAGCATTGCTGCGGCCCGAACAGGGCCTGGCCCACACCGGCGGCTCAACAGAGGCTTTCACAATTAGAAACAAAGAAACATAGCCATGCCCTGGAAACCTCAGGGCTCGCCACCCTCAGGACCCGGCCAGCCACACACCTGGGTGTCTGTGGGGGGCTCGTCGGTGCTAGCGCGGCTGCTGTTGAGGTATCTGAGCTTGTCCTTCTTGTCGATGGTGTAGAAGCCCTCACTGCGGGCGCAGCCTGTCACATGCTCGCGGATGCCATCGTCCCGCTTCTTTTTCTTAGCAGAAGACAGGCTGGTGGGTGGGCGTGTGTCAAGGGCCACAGACACTCTCAGAGCACCCCGGAGACACGCTCCCCACCCTCAGGCTCGTCTCCACCTCCACGTGGCTGCCCACTGGCCAACCCCACCAATGCTCAGTGCCTAGCTGTCTGGCCCTGCCTCAGTCTTCCACCCGACACTGGGCTGGGATGCATACAGCTGCCTGTCGATGGCAAAATACATAAAGGGGACTTGGCAGAGGCCCCAAGAGGTAGCAAATGCTCCGCCAGTTACCTCGATATCATGGAGACCACATAAGGTTTCAACTTTAAGCTTAGGGCAGCACTGTGATTTTAGATCCAGACCTGCCTGGGTTGGAATCTCAGCTCAGCCACTTTGGATCTGTGACCTTGGGCAGTCACTTAACCTCCCTGAGCCTCAGTTTCTCCCTCTATAAAATGGGAATCCTAACGGCCCCACCTCACTAGGCTCCCAGGAAGACTCGACAAGGTGACGAGGGGCCAGATGGTGTGCTGATGGCTGCAGTCTGCTGACTCAGGTTGAGATGTGCCCGGCACAGGATTTCACATGCCAGAGGCAGCTCAGCCCAGAGCCTGGTGAGGCACCATACCAATGCTGGTTGGCAGGTGACAATGACTGCCTCGACTGCACCACAGGGCCTGGACTGCGACCCTGGGAGACGGGCTGAGGGTGGGTGAGGACAGCCCGGGACCATCTGGCAGGATATAGGGGTGGTAGACCCAGAGTGTGTCGTTGAGCCAGTCCATGCCGTTGTCCTGCTGCAGCAGCCGCTCATAGGTGACACACAGGAAGCGGATGTCCTCCTCGTCGATGCCGCCATTCCAGATATCATACAGAATGGTCATCTCCTCGAACTCCGAGCGAGGCCGGAAGAGAGGTTGGGGTGGTGAGAGCTCTGGGGAGGCTGAGGGAGCTACTAGGTCCTCGTGGCGTTTCTTTGGGGGCCGGCGCCATGGGCCTCGTGCTTTGGCCAGCTCCATGTACTCCTCGGTGACTTCGTCCCGCCCACGAGGGCCTGGAGGGATGGCCTCAGAAGGCCACTGGTTGTCCAGTTCCTTGAAGGGCAGCTTGGCGGGCTCGATGGGGGGCGGAGGTGGGGGGGGAGGTGGCTGGGGGGGCAGGGGCGGTGGGGGGGCCGGGATCCCCGCGTTCCGGAAGTCCAGAGTCACAGCCCGGGGGTCATGGGTGCTGGGGAAGATGGGGGTCTGTGGCTGGCCTGGCAGGAGCAGGAGATCCCTCCCGAGGGTCACCCCTGCAGGCGGTCGGACCAGGGGTCCATCCAGGGACAGCATTGACGGTGGGGACCTCCGGGGCCTGCCCGGTTTCCTCTTGATGGGGGGCGGGCAGGGGGCAAGAGGGGCAGGGAGCAGGGGTGGCAGCTGCCCAGGCGCCCGAGCCTGTGCCCTCAGGACTGGGACAGGCAATGCCAGGGGCAGAGGCAGGGGCAGGGGCAGTGGGAGAGGAAGGCCTGTGTCCAGGAGCACCGGGGAGGCCAGGGGGCCAGGGCGCTCGTCACGCCGGCCGGCAGGAAGGGGACACACAGGGAGCAACAGGGGCCCGCTGGATTCAGGGAAGGTGGGCGTGAAGCTGAAGTCCCTGCCCGGTGTCCGCGGGAGCCCCCCGCTGCCCAAGCTGGGGGACTGGGACGGGTAGGAGAAAGGGCTGCCAGGCACCTGTGGGGAACTCAGGGACAGGTTGCTGCTCCCCCCCGAGAGTGGGGCCTCCCCGCTGGGAGTGGCTGGCACTGTCTCTGTGCTCTGTGACTTGGCCAGGCTGCCACAGAGGCCTGGAGTCCGAGGGGGCTGGTCCTCGGGAGGGCGCTCCAGAGGCACAGGAGGGGGCGGGGGCTCCGGGGTCTCGGGCTCTGGGGGTGGGCTGGGTGGGCGAGGGGGCCGGGGTGGTGGCAGGGGTGGATGTACGGGCAGGGATGGCATTGGAGGGGGCTCGGTTTCCACTTCCACGTCTTGCTCTACAGAGAAGCGGGTGAGAATGGGGGCCGGGTTATTGGGGTCTAACTCGAGGTGCCCTAGATAACTGCCTATTGAGTGCTGTCCCTGCACCCCCATCCTGGGAAGACAGACGCTGTCCCCAGTTAACCAATGCAAAGACCACTCGGCACCGGCCGGGGGTCGGGGTCACAGCAGGCATGAACTCGGTGGTAACAAGGTCCCTGGAGCCAAATCGATCAACCTTTCTCTGCCTTTTTTCCCGCTTTTGATTTTTTTTAAACAGGATCTCACCATGCAGTTCAGGCTGGCCTTGAACTCACTACGTAACCCAGGGTAGCCACATGCTTGTGGTGCTTATCCTGCCTCAGCCTCCCGAGTGCTGGGCTTATGCCTGGCCCTCACTGGGAATTACCTTCATAAGGACACGTACTTTTGTTTGCTCGCCCACTGCTGTACTGCTCATGCCTAAAATAGTACTGCGGACCAACAGAACCTGAATATTAAGCTACTGTTCCAACCCCTGTGGTCAGAGGAGTAAAACAAAATAAAAAATGAACAAAGGAGATCAGTTTTCTCTCCTCTCCTGAAGGGCTTAGGTGAGGTGGGTAAAGGCACACTCGCCTACTAAATTAAAAGGAACTCAGTTCCCTCGTAGCTCTGGCCATGTTTTGGGAGCTCGGCAGCAGCGCCGTGTCTAGGGGCCGGGGTGCTGGATGGCACAGACGGCACGTGTGTGACTGCCGGAAGCACAGCTTCCTCAGCTCCGTGCGGCCTGGGGAATGGGGTGCGGGTATGGTGCCTGCAGCCCCTCTCCCCTAACGCGGTGCCCCAAAGCTGCCTCCTTGACTGTTACTAAGTGACCACGATGCTGCCACCCTGGCCCTGAGATACGAAGACAGCCCAGGTCCTTGGGGCTCAGATCCCAGGGCCAGGCTCAGTGCCAGCATCATGTCACCCTGTGCCCTGTGTGTCTGCACAGGGGAGGTGTGTTCCGTGGGTCCCATCCAGGGAAACCCACTTCTGACAGGCTCCCGCACCCACCACCCGATCCCCGCAAGGCCGGAAAGGCCCTACCTGGAGCTCGTTCTGGGGATGTGGGGAGTGGTGCTTCCACCTCCTCGGCAGGGGGCGCTGGTGACATCGTCATGGATGCTTCCTGGTTTGGGCTCAGCTCTTCGGGGGGCTCCTTGAGCCCCACTGGCTCCTCAGCAGCCACAGGCACAGGGGGCTCCTCCAGGTCGGGGGTCTGCTCGCCAGGGGCTCTGTCCTCAGCCTCAATGTCCACCTCTGCTTCTGGGGCCAGCGGCTCCACCGCAGGTGTCCCTGGGGCCAGTGTCACCTCCTCCCTGCCCGGCTCAGCGTCCTCAGCCCCTGCAGGAGGCAAGGTGTCCTCTGCCACTGCTGCCACCGCTGCTGCCACCTCTTCCTCCTCCTCTTCTTCCTCCTCCTCTTCCTCCTCCGCTGCCATCTCCTCTTCATCCTCCGAAGAGGAGGACTCGGATGAGGACTCGGAGCTGGACTCAAACTCCGAAGACTCGGAGCTCTCGCTGGACGACTGGACGCCGGCCTTGGACATCGTGATGCTCACGGTCTCCTCTGGATGTGGGGACACAGGGAGGGGTCATGTCACCATCTTCGGGGTCCCCATCCCCGCCCCAGTTCCTCATGCAGGGCCCCAGCTGAGCACAGCCCTCACACAGCACGGGCCTGCGGCAGGGCTAACTGGTTTCCTTCCTGTCCTCCGCCATCTCTCCTCTCCCCCGCTCCCCTCTCCCTCTGGCACTGGGGGTGGAACCTAGGGCAACGACAGTGACCTCTCAGCTTCCAATGGTACAAACGGCCTGCGGGAGCAGGGGTGCCGCGAGTTCGCCCCCACCCGCTCAGGGCCTTCACACCGAGGGAGCTGTGTCTCCAGCCCTTGACCCTTCAATCTGCAACAAGGGCTCCCTAATGGGCCAGGCGAGGCTGGAGTCGCGATCCTCCGGCTTCCGCCTCCCAGGTGTGGGCCTGGCCGCTGTGCTCACTTTACTTACTCATTTTTTGGTACGCGGGATGAACTCAGGACCTCGCACTTGCCAGGCAGGCATGGTGCCGCTGAGCTACCTCCCGCCCCACAATGATCACAGTGACCACCTCTGGTGCTGTTTGTTTGGTACGTTCCAAATGTCTCTGCCTATTCCAGCCTGGCAGCCCCTGAACCCACTGCCCATCTGCCCTCCGTCTCCATGGACATAGCCACGTTGGGTGTCCTTCACGTACAGTGCTCACGGCACACCGACCGCCGCCCTGGCTGGTCCCTGGGGTACCCGTCACCCCTGCTCACCTCCTTCCGAGTCCCCTTCGTCTTTCTCACTCGCCTCCGACAGTGCAGCCGTGTCGTCATCATTGTCGGACTCTTCCTGGTCATCACTGTCTTCATCGTCACCCTGAAGGCCAGGCACAGAGGGATGCTGAGCCCAGGCCTGGCCCCGCACCTTGCAGGCGGCCGCCCGCCCACCGGCCCCCCTGTACCTTCTCCGACGTGGATGACGTCGATGAGGAGGACGAGACCCGGCTCCTGGGGTCTCGCTCGCCCTGCGCCCCCTCCTCCGCTTCCTCCTCCGCTTCCTCCTCCTCCTCCTCCGTGCTCTCTCGCTCCTCCTCCTTGTCAGACGCCGAGGATGAGGGTGAGGAGGTCGAGGACCCCGAGGTCGAGGACGCCGAGGAGGACGAGGACACTGACAAGGACTCCTTCTCGTCCTCCTCCCCGCCGCTGTCCAGCTCCAGGGGCCGTGCCGGCCGCCGGCGCACGCCCACGCCCTTGGGGTCCCGCTTGGCCAGCTCGCAGGGGGCGTCGGCCGGGTCGCGCTCCCGTTCCCGCTCGGACTCTGGGGAGGGAGAAGGGCGGTGAGCCCGGCCCAACACAGGGCAGGGGCACGGCCTGGGGCCCGGGCGGGCGCCCACCTTCATCCTCCTCGTCCACCGAGGTGGAGGGCCGCAGCCGCTTCTGGTCCCCAGACGAGGCCGAGTCCGGCGGCTCCTTCCTCTTGACCTTGAAGGAGGGCAGGCGGATGGCGCCGCGCAGCCCGATGCCCAGCCCCAGGCCCTCGTAGCCCAGGCCCTCGCCCTTGCCCCACGACTCCAGCAGGCACGAGGCAATCCGGTCTTTGGGCTTCGGCCTGTCCTCATCCTTGTGCTCCCCTGACTTCACGGGGGTCAGTGAGGCCTGTTGGGGGGAGGGGACAATCATGGTAACCTTGTTGCCACCACCCTTAGCACGGGGCAGAGACATCGGTATCCAAAAGCAGTCTGCGTCATGTGCAACAGTCACGCTGTCCTACTTCTGGGCTCAGCGGCACTCACAAACCCAGCATGAGGGTCCACAGGTCTCCAAGCCTAGCACTCTGGGAGACTGAGGCAGGAGGATTTCAAGTTTGAGCCCAGCTCAGGCCACTTAGTCACTTAGTGATACTTTCTCAAAATAAAAGACAAAAGGGCCGGGATTTAGCTCAGTGGCATAAGTGCCTGCCTGGTGACCACGCAGTCATGAGTTCCCGGTACCAAAAAAAAAAAAAAAAAAAAAAAAAAGATAAAAAGGGCTGGGGGTGCGGCTCAGTGCAAATGCCCTGGGTTCAGTACCCTGCACCATCCCCCAGACATACACAAACTTGGCCCCCACATGGCTTCCCAGAGGCTGCCCCTGTGCTTTCAAACACTTTGCCTTGAGGGAGGTGGGGTGGGGGACAGCACCAATGGAGCTGCGTGGGAGCCAGGCTCCCCAGGCAGGGGGCGCTGTATTCTCATCATGAGGGATGAGCCGTCCGTTGGCTGCTCACCAGCTAGGGCCTATGTAATTAAGCCTCATAAAAACTCACCCTGCAGCAGTGCCCCAGGGTTCACTTGGGTTTTACGGTCCCGTTACACAGTTGAGGACCAGGCCCACTGGTATGGCCCACTTGGGCTGTAGTGAAGAGCCTCGAAGTCCTGGCAGCACTGTCCATAGCACACTGGGGACAGCGAAACTGATAGCCCAGGTCATCTCTAGGGATAGCAAGGCAGAGGGGCCAAGGGCAGGGCAGTGGTGGGAGGGCTTTTAAAATGTTAAAGATGCCCGGTACATATGAGGTGCTAGCTACTTAGAAGGCTGAGGCAGGAGGACCGTTTGAGCCCAGTCCAGGGCTGGTCTGCACGCTGGACAGCAAAGAAATGTTCCATCTCAAGAGAAGAAAAAAGAAGAAAAGACAATCTCTCTCATGCAGAGAGAAGGGCTGCAGATAATTTATAAGACTGCCAGGAGACCAACTCTCCGTGAAAGAGGCACAGAGCGCTCGGCCCTGCCAAGACAGGACTGCATGCCAAGGACATGGAGAAGGGCACCATGCTCCTGCTGGTGCCACTGGCCCCAAGCCGCTTCTGAGCACACCAAGCGTGCCAAGGGCAGATGTGGAAGCTGATCAGGGCTTCCGCCTCGCCATCCGTCACCCATGGTGGCCAGCAGTGTGTCCAGGAAGGCGACACACATGACGGTGCCTGGACTCACCTTGGCCATCCGCTCCTTTTTGTCCCACCACTCGTCAAAGGCCCGGAAGGCCACCACCTCCACCATCTTGCGGTTCAGGTCCCGCTTCATGATGGCTTTGAGCTCCTTGAGCACCACCAGCAGGACACCGTCCACTGTGGCCTTGTGCGGGTCTTCCTGGCGGGGCACGTAGCCCGGAGGTGGCACCGACGGGTCAAACTTGGGCAGGGGTGGCCAGTGCTGCCCACGGCTGGGGCCGCTGTTGCCCAGGGAGAAGGGGCCACGGTAGGGCGGCAGGTTGACAAACTGCAGCCCGGCAGAGGCGGCAGCAGCCGCAGCGGCCATGAAGGGTGGGTAGGGACAGGCGCCCTGGCCGGTCATCAGCCGGCTCAGCATCTGCGTCTGCATCTGGAAGGACATGGGCATCCCACCCCACTGGCCGCCCAGCACGTGGCTCATGTCCACCTGCATCACAGGGAAAAGTCCAGGTGGGAAGGGCGGCAGCGGGGGCAAGATGGGTGGGGGAGGGACCCCGGGGGGTGGCGCCGGCAGAGGCGGTGGGGGCACTGCCACGGCGGGGTGGGCTGGGGGTGGGGGAGGGGGAGGGGGTGGTGGCAGTGGAGGTGGCATGGGGAAGCCGGGTTGCGGTGGGGGTGGTGGCGGCGGCAGCGGTGGGAAGCCAGGTGGCGGGGGCAGTGGCAGGCTTGGGGCCAGCACATTAGGGGCTGCCACAGCCGCCGCCCCTGGGGTCACCACCATGGGCTTGGGGCAGTCGGCGCTGGCGATGGGGGCCGAGGGCATCTCATCATCCGAGATCTCCATGTCCTCTCCTGAGGACTGGTGGCCCTGTGGGGAGAGCATGGAGGGTGAGGAGGGGAGGCAGAGCGGCTCCTGGGGTCCTGGAGCATCTGTGTGAGAGCATAGCCGTCTACAGGACTCCAGGAGCTAGGCATGATGACGCACGTCATCCCAGTGCACCGAGGCTGAGGCAGGAAGATGGCCCCGAGTTAAGCCTGACAGTGAGACCCGATCTCAAAAAACAAAAAAGCAACAACAACAACAACAAAAGGACTCAGAAGACCAAGGTGGATCCCAAGCCGCTTGGCCGTGTATCTGTCACTCAGCTCCTCCGAGCCCATTTCTCACGAAGGCCATCGAGGTACCTGCCTCCCCGGTTACATGAGCACCTGTGCATTCCTCCCACAAGCACCGGCTCCACATTTACGTGCCGGGCACACTGTTCTAGCTACTGAGGACACAAATGTGCCCAAGACATCTTGCTCTTGTAGAACTGAACTCCAGGACAGGAGGGGAAGGTCGGCAGTAGTGGTAGTGTACTGCATGGAGAAACAAAGCCGGGAGGGAAGGGTGAGCAGAGCTCTTTTCTGCCCGAGAGCTTCAGTTAAGGATGTGCTCAGAGGATGAACCCCAGGGGTATGGCTCCAGAGGGCGCCCTGTGTGCACAGAGCCCGCCAGCTGCCTGCGAAGGACAGGTTATTTCCATTGTCACCGATGGGGAAGTTAGGACACAGCTAAGTAACTCGTCCAGGCCAAGGTGGCCCCCAGCCGCCCCTATCTGTGGCCAGGATGCCTGGTGTGTGGGCAGGGCAAGAGAGTGGGGGCTCAGCAGCACTGCAGGGTCACAGCCAGGAGCTGTGGTTTCCCTCTTCCCTGCCCCACTCCTCCACCCAGGGCAAGCACAACTTAGTAGGGGTGCTGCGGGGCTGAGAGGTGCAGGCATAGGGTCCCATTTTTTCTCTGCCCAAAGCCCTCACAGAGCAGGGATGTGGCCAGGTGTGGCAGCCCTTGCTTATAATAGCTGCACTCAGGAGCCTGAGCAGGAGACTGCAGGTTCAAGGCTGGCCCACACTACTTATTAAAACAACTATCTGTGGATTCCCCCAAAACCCCAAAATAAACACACCCCAAAGTGGGGCTCCACTATGATTCCTCTGACAGGTGAAGAAACAGACCAGAAGCCGGATGTGGTGGCACATGCCTGTCATTCCAGCACTTGAAAGGCTGAGGCAGAAAGAGTCCCACAAATTCAAGGCCAGGGTCAGGGGTTCAGCTCAGCAGCACAAGTGCCCTCCTGGCAAGCACGAGGTTGTGAGTTCAACTGCCAGTACCCCCCCCCCAAAAAAAAATTCAAGGCCAGCCTGAAACACAGAGACCCTGCCTCAAAGAAAGAAAAGGAGAAAGAGAGAGAAAATGCAAGAAAGGTAGGAAGAAAGACCAGTTAACCAACTAGAAAGCCCCAGTAGGGCTGGAGGCCCCCCCCCCCCAGGCAGGCCGATGGAACGCAGAACAAGGTAGGGGCAGAATGGGGGAGGAGTCGAGGGCGCCCCAGACTGGGGACCTGGGGCTTTGGGGAGTAGGCTGCACAGAGCTGGAACCAGAAGGAGGCCCCTGGGTCCTCCAGTGGGGTGGAGCTAGGCCTACACACCCCTCTGTAGAAAGGAGGCAGGGGGTGTCTGGAAGGACCGGGGGAGCTGAGGGGGCCTAGGAGGGCATCTCAGGGTGGGAGAGTAGGAGGAATCCAAACCTAGGAAAGGAGCGGCAAGCTTCAATTTTGCTAGGTGCCTGCGCACACAGAGACAGACAGACAGACAGACACACACACACACACACACACACACACACACACACACACACACACCCTCCCAGCCCTGCCCAGCACAGAAGGAGCAGGCCGGCACTCCACAGCGCACCCCTAAGCAGAGCAAGTTCCTGCCAGCCCAGCAGAGAGAGGGTTAAGGCCGCCAGCAGCCAGCCAATCCCTGGCCCAGGCCCTCCCTGGGCGGTAGGTGGGGCCCGGCAGGAGCCCACAGAAGTCACACATGCGCGAGTACTGCCGCTGGCCCTGGCTAAACCAGGAGGCAGGTGCTCTCACGGTCAGTCCCCGCGTGTGAAACTGAGACGCAGGCAGGGAAAGTGCCTTCCTTCCCTGGGGTCACAGAACGCCCAAGTGGCAGCTGCGGCTCAAGGTCTGGGTCCTGCACCTTTACCACCCGCCCCCCGGCGCCTGGGGAGACAACAGCCCCCCCCCTACTGGCCCCTCTGCGTGGCTCTCCCTGCTCCACCTGTGCGCGCCACAGCTGGGGCCACCGTGCTCACACTTAGACCCCCTGGGGCGGCCCCAAGTCTGGGTGTTCTCTAGGCCGCCAGCAGGGGGCCTCCGAGGTCCATCCTGGAGTTCAGCCAAGGGTTCTATCGTGGGGTGGACCAGACTACTGCTCTAGATCCTCAGTTTCTCCTTCCATACTATGGCCCCGTGGGGGCCTCGACACAGTGAGCACCCTGGACCCAAAGCCGCCCCCTACACCTGTTCACTTGTCAGCTCCCCTTGCCTGTACTCCAACACCAGAAACCGCATCCCTAAGCTGCTGGCTGGGGACACCTGTGGTCCCTACCAGGCTGGGTGCCCGAGTTCCTCCCTGAGGCACCGAGGCAGCCTCAGGCCCCAGGGAGGGACTCTGCTCCCAGCCACCCACCCTCTCTCAGAGAACCTGGCCTGAGGCACTGGGCAGAGCTTCTGAGGCTGAGGGCACAGGACAATCAGCCGCTTGCCTCCGGTCACTGCTCCCCCACCACCACCACCAAATGACCTCTCACTGCTTCCTCCTGGAACTGGCAGCAGTGCTTTACCTGCCCAGCTCTCCCCTGGGCAACAAGCTCTAAGAGTACAGTTCTCTGGCCAGTCCCTCTTTCCTGGTCTACCTGAGCACCACCCCAGCCCTGCTCATTGCTAACCCACCCAGCACAGAAGGGGCTGAATCAGCCCCACAGCTCTGACCCTCTGTGGTCTCTGCAAACTCCTCCAAACAAGCTCAAGTCTCAGGGAAGTCTGTACTTCACTGACACAGCAGCAGACCTTGGCTTGGCTGTGTTTTCCCTTTTCTCCATGGCAGCTAGGGAGCTCAGATTCCAACCAACTCAGCTGCTCTGTCACAGCCCTGGTGCTTTTCTGCAGTTTTTTACTTTCACACTGTTCTATTGGCTTCCCCGGCCCTATTATTCCTGTCTTAGCCAGTTATCGTAAGCCTTTCAAGGGGAAAAGAGGGAGAGCTCAAGCAGACAGAATCCATCCCAGACAGAAGGAAAGATGCGGTGGTACCTCATCCATCTTTTCTGAAGTTGGGGTCCTATCTCCACCCAAGTCCAAGGTCACATCAGCTGTAAGCCCAGAAGGGTCCGGGGGGCCGGGCTCAGGTGGGGGTCGAGGCCCCAGGCCTAGGTCCAGCTCATCGTCCTCATCCGAGTCGGGCAGTGGGGTCGGGCTGATGTCCTCCAGGCCCGTGCTGGAGGGCGGTGAGGAGGATGGCGAGGGGCCACGGAAGCCTGGCTGGGAGTTGGCGCCAAAGGGGGCGAGTGGGGAAAGCTGGGAGGAGGAGGAGGAGATGGGGCTGCCTTCCATCTGCAGCTCGGTATCCGAGTCCTGCTCCCGCAGGAAGGGCAGCTTGGTGCGCTGTTCCTTCAGGAGCATCTCGATGCGTGAGTCCAGGCTGTCGTGGGGTTTCTCCGGGCCGGCAGGTGACGACTCCAGCGTGGGGGTCCCCGGGCTGTCACAGGGCTCCGGACTCCAGCCGAAGGTTGGCTGGCCCCCCAGCTCCATGCTGTTGGTGTCAGGGGGTGGTGGCCCAGGTGGGGTGCCCGGCTTCTCCTTGGCCAGGGGCTCGGCGGGTGGCAGCGGCGGGGGTGCTGGTGCCCTGCGGAAGTCCGTGCTGTCCCGGGCCCCAAAAGCTGCGGCAGCTGCTGCAGACTCCTCTGGGGGAGGTGGGAACGGGGGCGCTGAGGTCTGGTATGGGGAGAAAGCTGACTTGAAGGTGGGTGTGGGAGCCCCCTGGGCGGGTGGTGGAGTGTGGGCGAAGGTGACCGAGTCCTGAGGCTGGGCCTTGAAGGCAGGGCCGCTGCTGCCTCCGGTGCTTCCCAATGGCCCAAACGGGAGGTCCGAGGAGCCTCGGAAGGTGGCTGTGGCCCCGGCCACGGCAGCCACTGCAGAGTTGTGGACATAGTGGTGCTCGTGGCGGCGGTTGTATGCGTCCGTGAACTTGCTTTCATGGCGCCGAGCCTTGAAGGGGGCGGCTGGGTCTTGGCTGAAGAGGTAGGAGGGCGTGGGCTGGCGGCTGGAGTAGCTGGAGTCTTGCGAGAAGGGGGTGCCCAGGCGCGGTGTGAGCGGGGTGCCCTGTCCGTAGGAGTTGGGTGTGTCCAGACGGCAGCTGGAATAGGCTGTGTCCTGGGAGAAAGGTGTCCCACCGCTGTTGGGGGTGACTGAGGAGGAGCCAGAGCCACAGCCTGCAGACAGACTGCCATCCTTGAGGCGCTTGAGGGCGTCCGACAGCTGGAGAGAGACAGAGACATCAGGCCGCAGTGTGGCCGCCTGGCTCGGCAGCCAGGCCGCTCAGAGCAACTGTTCCACAGCATAAGTAAAGGACGTGGACTCTTGGATATTCCTCTACTCTAGGATTAGCTAATTTTTATCTTCAGGAACTTTTAAGGATTTTTCTTAATCCAGAGGAAAGAGAAGGCCCTGACATCTTGCTAGAAGCTGTGATTTTCTTCCAGTTTCCAGTGGTCAGACATCAAAAGCAGCCTAGCAGAGCCAGGAACAAGGACTAGGATTTGGGGATAGAGAGGGTGGCCAAGGGCTCTGCTCTGCCCGGCCCCACAGTCTTCGGGTCTGAACAGTGTGACAGGGGAGCCCTGACGGCAGCCTGGCTGACCGCAGTGCAGGCCACTCTTGGGGTGGGTGCCTGAGTTGGGAAGATGCAGTGCTAGCTTCCGTGTGGGGTTGCCAGGTGAGTGTCCCAGGAGGCAGTGGTCTGGGTTCTGGAGTTGGGGGACTGAACCCCACTTTCTCGGGGCAGATGCAGAGGGGCCCCGAACACTAGTACCCTGGACAGAGCAGAGTTCCTGCATTAAGATGGAAAAGGGGGGGTCCATGGAACCCCGAACCTCTGCCTGAGCGCTGCAGGGAGGTCCGTCTGTACAGGCCCAGAGGCCACCAGAACAGGACCTGGATCCAGGGCAGCAGCTGATCGAAGGCTGGGAAGAGGCTCTGAGATGCCTTTGGCTGGGCTGTGGTGGCTGGGGGGGTCTCACAGGGACACTGGTGAGGCTCAGGGAGTGGGGGACATGGGAGAGAGCTGGCGACTGACCACGCACCTGCAGGGTCTCATTCACAATTGGAGAGATGGCGTCCAGTTCACCCACCGGGAGGGTCTGGGGGGTGTATCGGCCGGTGACCAGCAATTCATAGAAGCGCATGCGGGTCTCCCCTGAGACAGGCAAAAGAGGGGGAATTCAGGAACCTTCCAGGATAGGGGAGCCCCCAGGGGTCTCCAACCTGCTTGGCCTCCTGAGCCCCAGGCTTCCAAGCGCCCCCACCCTCCCTGTTCTTCTTACCTGTGTGACAAAGATGCAAAAGTGCCTGGTGTTTCGGATGCTAACATTCAGAGTTTTAATTCCTTGAGGGGCTGGGACTCCCCTGATCTAATATTTGCCCCTTCCTGGGCCATGGGGCCCAAAGAAAGGCCGGGTATGCCCTCCTGCTCTCCTCCTGGCTTCCCTTTTACTGTCCCGCTAAACAGGCAGCCAGAGAACAGAGAAAGTCACAGGACACTGAGGTGACAGTGTGTTAACTGCCTGGAGCCAAGCGACCCGACAGTTTGCAAAACACAGCCTAGTAACATACTGCTGTGACATCGGGGGACCCAGGAGGGCCCCGAGTCAGCCCAGGGTCTGCTTGGGGCCCGGGCCCACCTCACAGGGTCCTCCTGGTCCCCCCCTGGGCTCTGCAGACCTGTGTCCCTCAGAAGAGAGATCTTCACAGGGCAAGTAGTTAGCGGTATTTATAGCCTCTATAGAGCCCCAGAGGCCGCCGCTTACATATGCAAAGGAGATGCATTCCTTGAGCTACACTTTACACTTTGCTGGTCTCTTTCTCGAAATACAAACTTAGGCGGGCAGCAGTCTCCGAGGGCTTGGTTTTTTTCAGAAGTGAAATTGTGGTGAGACCCGGCGGCTCCTTAAGATGTGGGCACGTGATGGGGGAGGGACAGCAGACTCACCTCTCAGGGGGACAGCAGACTGCAGCCACCCATGGGAGTGGGCCGATTTCAAAGTCTGCATACCCCTGCCCCCAGAGATTGAGGAACTGTTGGGGGGTGGACTGTGGGTTGGGCAGAAGCCACAGGCTTGTGCCCCTGCCAGGAGTCACAACCAGGCAGAGGGCTGGGCACCCTGCAGGGGATAAATGTGCCCACAAGGGCCGCCATACCCATTCCCAACACCCCGAGAGCTCTAAGGGACCCAAATCAGTACGAGTCAGCTTTGAGAAGCAAAACAACACCAGCAAAAGTTTGGATGTCCCTCTCCAGGGCTTGATGTGTTCAGCTGTCCCCAGAGCTTATGCTCAGAAAACCCTGGAGCTGCACCTACGTCCTCCCAGCCAGGGTTCCCTGGTGGCCCCAGCAACTCTGGACCTGGCAGTGTCAGCCCACACTGGGCCTGGTCCCACAGCGGCTGGCACCTTTCAAGCAGGTGGGAAGTTTGTAGAGGCTGCAGGAGAGCTTTTGAAGGACCCCTCCCCGTTCCTAAAGCCCCTGCAGCTGGCACCCAAGGGAGGATCCGAGGCCCCGGAGGGTGGGAGGTGTGGCTCCCTAGCCCGGCTGTGTAAGGCGGGGCTTGGTGAAGGGAGGTGCTGCGGTCTCTTTAAGAGAGAGGAGGGAGGAAACACTGTCAACCCCAGCACCCAGACCAGCCCGCCCCCTTGGCTCTGCGGGGAGCGTTATCAATGAACAACTCCGCGGCCCCTCGAGCTTCGGGGGAAGGGGTGTCGGGCAGGACCCCAGTGCTTACAGCGTTCTCCTTAGGTGTGGGACTGATCTCCTCTTTGTGTGTTTAAAGGCGCCCTACTAGCGCGCCTTCAGACCCCACAAATAAACTCTGCCTCCTCCCCTATCACATGTAACAACACCGGGGACCATCCAAACCCAGGCCACCAGGGTTCCGGGAGGGACCCTGAGGGCTGTCACAGTGGGGAAGCCTCTAGGTGGTCCCTACGGGTACTGTGGCCAAGGACCCGGCACATTTGGTAAATTACAGCTTGTTTCCTAGCAACGGACAACACATTTAGCTCCCAGTGACTCTGCCCTCAGGAGGGGGCAAAAAAATAAATAAGATTAAGGGATGATTCCTGAGGAGGACTGGGGAAGGGGGCGCTGCCTAGCCTGCGGCCAAACGAACTCAGGGAAGGGAAAGGGTCCTGAAGCCTGCAGCTCGCCCCCTGGGCACTTACCTTTGGTGTCCAGCTCCACGTGGATTATGTTGCCCATGACCGATGTGCTGTGCAGGTGCTGGACGGCCTCCTTGGCGCCCCTTACCGTGGCAAAGACCACCTTGGCAATGCCCAGGTGCTTCTTGGTCTTGGGGTTGTACAAAATCTCCACCTCCTCCACCTCCCCATACTTCTTGCACATGTCCCTCAGGAAGTTTTCGCGGATGTTATCATTCAGCTTGGCAAATGTCACCTGCTTCGGAGGCACTGGGCCCACGTAGAACTCATCGATCTGCCAGGGGCCCGAAAGGGGAAGAGAGTTTGGAAAACATTGAAACCGAAGAGGAAAAACGTAACATTCCCTTACTCAGCCCAGCCTTTTAACAACAATGAACCATTTTTTTAAAAAAAATTTGGAGGGGGGGGAATGCACGCAGGCGGGCGGGCCCGGGAAACCTAGGATTAAATCGTTTGGAACGTGGAAGTCCTCGGGGTTCGGAAGGAAAGGGGAAAAAGAAACAGTTTCTCTTTCCCTAGCCTCCATTCCGGTCCCTTCTCCTTACTGCAGGGTCAAAGGGTGACCCTTTTGGGCCAGGAAGTTGTCCCCCCACAACCTGCCGGCTGGGAAGGGGGGCGGGTCCCCAGTCAGGCCGCTAGGTGGGTAGGAGCCAGGTGGGGACCCGGAGCCCCAAGCTGGGCCGGCGGGACACACTGTATCAGCGCCCCATTACAGTTTCTCCCACTGTTATTTTGTTTCCAGTGGCCAGGAGGGGACACCGCTTCTCCCCCCCTCCCCGCCAAAACTTCCCGGGCCCTGCTCGGCGGGAACTCGGAATCCCGCAGGGCTGGGCCGGGACTGGCGTTATTTTCGAACTCGGGGGAGTTGGGGCGGGGACGACCGATCCACGGGGCAGGGGGAAAGGGTCCCACCTTGAATTTGGGCACCGAGAGCTCCAGCTCCTTGTTTTTGGTCCAGATCCCGACGACCCGGGGATCTTCGACAATTTCCACCGGGCGGTTGCTGGACATCTGTGGGGGGAGGAAATTGGGGGACGGTGTGGAATGGGAAGGCTGCCCCCCCTCCCCAGGCAGGGGTCCACCCCTCTCCAGGCACCCGTCAGATCGGGGCTGGGGCCCGGCTGACAGTTGGCGAGTGGCCGGGAGGGGGTCCCTCGGCCCCTCTCGCGGGGGTGGCCTCGTACTCACCGCCAGGCTGAAATGCTGCCCATCATAGCGGTACAGTTTATGGTGCCCCTTTTTCAGAGCCGGGTCAATCATCAACTTGTAACTTCTCCAATGGTGGTTCCTCCTCTCGCCCGAAGGGCCGGGCTGCGGCGGGGGCTGCTGGTGATGGTGGTGGTGGGGGTGACTGTTCTCCATGCCGTTAACCCAACCTGGAAACCAGCAAGTTGTTGTCGTCTCCGCCGCGGGGGCGGCGGCGGGGGCCGCTTCCACACACACGCGCGAGCGCGACTCCGATCGGCCTGCCCCCACCCCCTCCCACCTGGAGCCAGCGCGCCCCGAAAGGAGCTGTCTCGCCGGCTCCCCCCTCTAAAATAAAATTAAAAAAAAAAAAAAACAACAACACGAAGAATGGAGCGAAGCGAATAACCCTTCCGGGAACATTACGCGCCCGCCCGCCCGGCCGCCGGCTCCGGGAGGTGCTGGGAGGCTTCCGGGGGTCCCCGCTGCGGGCCGGCGGGGCCCGGGGCGCCCGGAGAACGCGGACTCCGGCCCATGGTGCCCGCCCGGCCGCCCGGCGTGGCGCGCGCTCGGCCCGGCCCGGCCCGGCTCGGCTCGGCTCGGGCGCGGGGCTCGCGGCGCAGGCCTGGCGCCACCCGCCGGCCGGGAGCCGCGGCCCTGGGACTCGGGCCGGGGGCGCCGGGGGCCGCCCGCCCGCCCGCCCGCCCGCGGCCTCTCCCTCTCCCGGCCCGCCGGCCGGCCGCGCTTACATCCCCGCCGGGCGCCGGCCTCCCTGCGCCGCCAGCCAGTACATGGTGTCCCCCGCGGAGCCGAGGCCGGGGCGGCCGGACGGGCGGCCGGGGAGGGGGGGCGCCGCCGCCAAGCGCGGCTGCCGGGCCCGGAGCTGTCGCCGCCGCCGCTGCTGCTCGCGCTGCTGTCGCTGCTGCCCGGGAGGCGGCTGGCGGCGGAGGCTCGGCTCCCAGTGGCCGCACATCCCACAATACACCGCCAAGGAGCCCGGCCCGAGCGCTCACCCTCCTCCTCCTCCTCCTCTCCTCCTCCTCCTCCTCTTCCTCCTCCTCCCCTCGCCCTCCGCGCCGCTTCCCCGGGCTCTCTCCCGGCGGCGGCAGCAGCTGCGCCGCCAAAGCCCGGGCCCCAGCGGTCCCCCACCCTCGCCCGCGCGCTCCCACACTGCTCCCCCTCCCCGGGGGAGGCCTTTTAATTTATTTATTCTGCTGGGACTGAGGTGGGGGGCTCAACTGGCGGGGTGGGGGTAGGAGGACTCCCCGGCTTCTACCTCCCGCAGCTGGCTACGGCGACCTTCGAGTCGCGGCAGCCACGGCGTGCGCCCGGGGCCTCCCCAAGTGTTTGCAAACTGCGGGGCCCGGCGGTGGCCGCGTGAGGACTCGGGGGAGAGGGCCGGGCTTCTTGGGGGGGGGTCGATGGTGTGTTTTGGACGCGGGTAAACGTGCTGGGGGGGTGGACAGACGTGGACCCCGAGGAGTTGCAATCGAGGTTTCCGCGCCCGGGCTTCCTCTCCGGCCCGGAGGCCCCCCCCCCCCAGCCGAGCTGGGGAGGGGAAAACAGGATTTGAACCACATTAGCATTCGCATTCCTGGGAATGTTGCAGCCCTCGCCTGGAACTGGGTGATAGCTTTTTTTTCCCCTTCTGTTTTTATTTTTGAAGGGGAGCAGCCCTGTAATTGTCCTGAACACATGCTTCTCCTCTCCACCACCACCCCACCTCTTTTCCTCCAGCCACCAGCGACAGTCTCCCCCCTCCTTTTTTTGCATTTATCTTTTCCTTCCCCTTTCTTTATTAAAGGTCCGGGAGTGGCGGCGGCCAATCAGCGCGCGGCTTCCATTTTGTGAGTTCAACTCCGAGGCTCCCGGGCTTCCCGAAGACGCGTTCGCAGCCCCCTCTGCCTCTTCTCTCGGGCGGCCGAGGCGAACGAACCGCCTCACTGGGGCTTAGTGGCGGTGTATTTCATATTGGGGCTCTTTTCGGGGTTTGTAATTTGGCCGTGGGTAGGTAATTGGCTGGAGCACGGCGGCGAGGCGCGGCAGCCAATCAGCGCGCGGCTTCTATAGGGCTTGAGTTATTAGACGCTGATCTCAAAACATCCTTCATCAGACACCAAGGAGAGGCCAACAGATGAGGGGAGCCATTTTTCTGCAATGGAATTAAATGGCCAAGTGGGTTTTTCCTTTGTTGCGAGTGGGGAGTGCTTTTCCTTTGATTCCACCATCCAGTTCAGGACGCCTGAATGTGTTGTTTAACATTTGTCAACAGGCTAAAGGACTCAAAATTGGAAGAATGAAGAAGACCTTTTAAAAAGATCTGGATTTTTCCTTATGACTTGGAATCCATCTTTGTCTTGTATAACTAGGTCATAGCACACCATTAATGTCAGCAGTTAACAGTTTTGAATTCCAAAAAATCTAAGTAAATGACATATTTGATTTTTTTTCCTTTTTTTTTTCCTTGGGTGGGTGGGTGGGGGGAGCTTGGCGCTGTCTTAATCTGTATTCTCTTGACTGAACAATAAATTTTTAAATATAGTTTCCTTTATTAAACACTTAAACCTGGCCATCTTATTAACTCCTCTTTTTAACAAGGTAATGTTTTAAATGTATAGTTTTAGGAAGAGCGAAGTGGCAGCAACAAAAAAATATGTGAGCAGTCGTTATGACTTTTTTTTTAAGTTTCTAAAAACCTTTTACATTGTAAGTACCCAATCCATTCTGTCCTTACGCAGTGCAGTTTTCTTGTTACTGTTGGCTGAGCTGTCCTTAATTTTCCGAACCTTCATCTGCATGTCTGTCTTTGTCTCTCTTGTCTAATATAAGCCAGTTAAAATGCTTTTTAGACGATTTTGCTTTGATAAAGCTTAAGGTTTTCGCTTCAAGCTTTTGAAAATGTTTACAGAAATAAATGCTAGTCAGCCTTCCCAGGAACGTTTACACTCTTTGAAAATCGATCTATTTGAAGAAAAACAGCTCTGTTTTTCTCGTCTTGGTGATGGTGGTGGTGGTGGAAGGGGGGGTGGTTAGAGAAAGGAAGACCTTCTCTTTGTGTAGAAAGTCGAAAGCCGTCACAGGAAACTAGATTAAAGCTGGAAAACAAGTCCTAGCTGGTTCAAGCCAAACACCGACGTTAACTCGGTCGTATTTTCTGTGGTGGTTGGGATGCTGGTGCGCCTTTTGCCTTTTGTTTGATTTGACTGTGTGTTTTCGCCTTTTGTCTCTTAATGAGGGTCACACCATTGCTATATCCAGAGCAGTAAACAGTCCTCACCGAAGCCGCCTTTTTGCCAACCCAACTCTGGAAAGGTTGCAGAAGCGGAAGGAGCAGGAAAATGCCATAAGAGTGTAACTTACAAAAAAGGTAACAACAACAAAAAGACAACACCATAACTCCCAATTTTCCCAACTAAACAATCAAAAAAAAAGATATTTTATAATAGCTCCAAAACCACCGCCCAGCTTCATCTTCTAGACTCCATGGCACCGGGCTGAGCGGGTAAGTAAAAAAATAATAATAAAATAAAAATAAAAGTGCCTTTTGCCCCTTAGAGAAGCTTAGCGAGCAGGCAGGCCCGGGCTGTAAGAGGAGATGGTCTCTGGACCTTTGTGTTTGGCAGCCGGAGAGGGTCGGGAAGGGAGGCCAAGGAGGGCTCTTCAGATCCCTTTTTTTTGTCCCAAAGGCGAGGTCTTGCCAGCGACCCTCGAGCGGCCGTGGAGCGGTTCCCTGGCTGTCCCCGACCTGAGCCTTGGAGGGGAGGAGATAGTGAAGTGCTTGGGGGGGGGGGCTAAAAGACGGGGAAACCTCCCCAACTGACTTAGGGCGTCCTCGCCTTCGGCTTGGTGGTGGCTGTGCACCCCGAAGCCGGCTGCCCGGGGCACGGGGCGCGCGTGCTTTCCGGGGAGGAAGGACAAAAGCTGGCGTCCATGTTGGCACCATGACGCAGCACCGCGCCGGCCTCGCCGACTCTTTTTATTTTCAGGTTTCGAGCGCGGAGCCGCGGGCTGGGCCGGGGCCGGGGCCGGGGCCGAGGTGGGGGTGGGGTGGGGGTAGCTGGGGGTCGGAACCGGCGCGGGCCCCTGGGCTGGACTGGGCCGGGCCGCGGTGGGCTGCGGTGCCAATGGCGACTGCTCCTTCGCCTCCTTCCTCCTCCGATGTCGGGTTTCGTGGGGAACTCGGGGAGGTGTCGCCTGGGCCGCTCCGCGGTGCGCGGATCTCGGGGGCGTCGCGCGCCGCGGTTTCCGTGCTCGGCGGCCACACCGGCGCCATGGCGCGCGCTGCCTGCAGCCGGGCCGGCGGGGACTCTGGATCACCGCAGCGCCCCTGACTGGCGGGGGGACTCCTCGCTGTCTGGCGGGAGCCATGGCCCAGGGCTCCCAGCCCTGACCCCAGGCCACCTCTACCCCAGGATGCCCACGGGCTCCGCCTGCCCTATCGCCCTAGTTTGGCGGAGCCACAGGGGTGGGTCTCCCCTTTTGTTCCCACTTTGGGTAAGGAGGCCCTGGGGAAGGCCGCTGACGCCCCATTTGGCCGTCCAGGGCACACCCCTCTATCCCTGCCCTCCCGGCTGATGTGGGGGGGGGGGGTGTTGGGATCTGGGAAAGCAGACTGGACCTCCCCCGGGATCCCCGAGCTAGCCAGGCTCTAGGGTAGTGCCTCAGATCTTGGCCTTCCTGGGGGAGGGGATGCTGACAGGGCGGGCCTTTGGAAATGCAGATGAATTGCCTCCTGCCGCTCCTCGCCCCAGCTGAACCTTTCATGACTCACCCCCCCAAACACACACACACACACACACACACACACCCCCAATCCCTTCCTGCGTGAGGGCGCCTTGGCAGCTGTGAAAGGGGGTGGCATTTGCGAGTCTGTCTTTCTAGGACACCGACAGTTCTCCATTGGGACAGTCACATTCTCAGACTCACAACCTGGGGGCTGTCCTGACAGGTCCTCCCCATTCTTTCCCTAGTTTCTTGGCCGAAGGAGGGGCAACAACCTGGTACCCGCAGAGTGGACAACCCTTCCTTCCCTTGGACAGCGAGAGCAGGCCTAGTTTGACAATTCATCCGTCAAAGGTAGGTGACAGCCCTGTGCCAAGCTGTGAGGGTGCCTAAGGAGCTCTGGCCTACACCCCAGGAGGGCAGGTTGTGCCCAAACCTGCTGGGCTGGTTCTGCAGCCCCTCCCCCACACAGATGCCGCGGCTGTGTGTGTGAAATCGGTGGCCTGCTGGGTCCCTTCAGCCCTGCCTGCCAGCTTCTGTTGTCAGGCATTTGGGCTGGCAGTGCTCTGCTGAGTTTAGCCACTTACTAGAGGCTGGCTGGTGGGTATTTCTCAGGGATAAGGTGTTTGAAGTAGGGGGAGGCGGGCCTCTGGTGCCACCTCCTTCCGAAGGTTACTGGCCACTGCTAGGGAACCCCGCGGCCCTCCCTTCCGGCCCCAGTGGGGGTGTTTGGGGTGACTGGAGCAAACTACTCTCTCCCTGGCTGCTAGAGAGGCAGTGAACACAAGAAGCCAAGATCTGGGCCAGCTTTCCTGGAGAAAGAGGCTTCCTTGCCTGTCCTCCCCCTTCCTGGGATTCCCAGCTCCCTCCTGCCTCCCCAGATGGGCAGGCGTATGTGGCCTGGTTTCTAGACTCTGACAAGCCAGCTATGAAACCTTAGCTGGCTTTGACAAACTGTGACCCTGCATAAAAAGTCACCCAGTCGCAGGAGCCCCAGCTTCCCCACCTACAGATGGGACTCTGGGCTGCCACGCTCGGAAGCTATCGGGGCATCAGAAGCCATCTTATAAAAACTGGCCCTGGTCCCCAAGTTTTTGATTCAGCAGGTTGAACCTAAGAACTTGGCTTTCCATCTGATCCCAAGAGAGGCCGTGTTCTGAGACCCTGTGGGCTGGGTTCTGTGCAGGGCATTTAGCTGTCCGTGTGGCTGTCACTGGAACTAAGGCGACCTCCTGGCAGCCGCCCTCTCCTCGGGTCTGGAAGCTCCACAGCTGGGGGCTGTGAGGCCCTTGATCTCTGCCCTTCCCTGGGAGCTCCAGTTAGCGATTACTTTGATGATGAGCCGTTTGGGTCCAGGTGCCGCCCATCCCACTGCTGCCCTGCCCCCTCGCTACCCACCCCAGCTTGAGCTCTAGCTGTGGCTTGGAGGAGCCTGGCAGGCTTTATCTGAGGCTTCTGGGTGGTTGACCCAGGGACCTAAATCAGGCTGCCCCCATGGGCTGGAATGTGTGCTGGATTGTGCCAATGACCTTGGGCGGTGTCTTCCCTGGAAAATCATGGGTGGTGACGCTGGAAAGGGCGGCGAAGGATTACAAGGCCTGCCTCTGAGCGGCCTCGCTCCCGGACCTCCTTTGTGAGCTCGCAGGCGCTGGGAGTGGCCGCGGGTGGGGGCTGGGCTATTGCCGGAGCTCCTCCCCGCCAGTCCCCCTCCTGGAGCACGTGGCACAGCCTCCGGGTGGCGGGGAGGGGCTGGCAGCCTGCTTGGCTCCTCCCCCCTTGTCGGGAGTCGGGCTGCTTTGGGATCACCCACTCGTGGGCCCCCCGAAGAAATGACTCCGGTCACGAGGCCACCACTGGCAGGATGAGCTCCAGGTGTCTTGACTTGCAGCCTGGCGCCTGGTCCCGTGGCAGCCCTGGCCTCAGCTGTCTGGGTTATTTTAGGCTCCCCCAGCCAGGGCCAGCCGGCTGTTGGCAGCCGTGTCCGGGAGCTGTGGGGTGGGAACTAGCCTGTGTGGTGCTGCTGGCTCCCGGCTGGCCGGGTCTCCAGTGACCAGTGTCCTTTGCTAAAGGAAAGGTGCACCCTGCAGCTCCCCAGCCCCAGGGAGAAAGAGCTCGAGGCTGTGCCTGCTACTGATGCCCTTAGACCTCTGGCTTCTTCCTGGTGGACAACCTCGCCGAACTTGCCCCGGCAGCCTGGGGTCTGTTGCCCGGGATAGATAAGAGCTCCAGGCATGGATCTTTGCCTCCTCCTGCCTGCGCTCTTGGGTGACTGGTTGGCCTTCCCCTCCTAAGCTGAATGATTGGTTTAGGTCTGCAGGACCCTATGACCCATAGCCTGCAGTCAGGGGCTGCTCTATGCTCTGGGTGTGAGTCGGGATTCTTGGAGAAAGGGCCCGGGCCTTATCTTGTATCTACTTCTGTGACCGCCTCTCCTGTATTCCTGGCCTCCCCTCCCCCACTCCTCACCCTGTGTCCTGGGGCCTCGAGGGCGGGGCCGTCTGTCCTGCTGTTCCTCCTCCTGACCCTCCGGGGACTCCGGGAGCCCGGGGCGGGGCTGCTGTGGCCTGCAGGGAGAGGGCCACGCCAGCGGAAGGGCGGCCGGGCTGGGAGGTGGCCTGACCAGCCTTACTACCGAGCTGCCTGTGTCCCCGCCCCTTCCCTTCCGGCGCTTCCAGTGAGAGCCCGAGAGAGTGGAATTTTGATTTTTATTTAGGATCCTGTGGGTAGAGATGGCAGCCACTGCCTGGACCAAGGAGAGAGGTGGCCAGCCGCTGTCTAGCCACGTGCTCTGTGCTTTCTCCAACTGCCTGTGACCCCCAGCAAGCTCCTGCCCGTGGGATGGGGGAGAGAATTGGGTGCTAACCTTCAGAGCTGTTTCTGAAGCCTTAAAGAGATAGGATCTTGTTACCCCGGCTCAAACTCCTGCCTCAGCCCCTAGCAGCTGTGGAAAGTGAGTGCCACTGCCCCCAGTGCTAGTGGCTGCTGGAGCCAGGAGGGACCTTGGTAGACCCGAAGGGTCAGGAGGTAGATAGATGGCCTGGTCTCCCAGGGAGCCTGGTGGCCACTGGCCCTCTTAGGCCCCTCAGGGAACAGCTTGAGGTGTCTAGGTCCCTGTCTGGGGCTGGGGTCCTTATCTCCCACCAGCTGGGCAGGATGGTTCAATGATTGATTTATGGTTTCAACATCCATGGAAGTGGGTGTCGTCAGCCCCCATCATGGCCTGGGCTGGGGGACTTTGCCCTGTTTGCCCTCCAGCTCAGAGTCCCTCTTGGCCTCCCTGTGTCACAGGCCTGGGGTGACTACACATGAGCTCACTCTGCAGAGGCCACTTGGCAGCACTGCAGGGTTCCTGGGCCCCAGCAGATGTCTTGGCAAGAACCAACACGACATCCTGGGCCTGTCTACGACCTTGTGGTGAGCAATAGCTTGGTGTGGGTCCCCAGGGCACCCAGCAGCTGGGGAGCAGTCCCAGGGTGGGCAGGTGTCCCCTACCTCCTGCACCCGCCAGCCGGGCCTCCGAGGAAGCTTGGAGCAGCTGGCTGGGCTCCTTGGGTATTTTTAGCTACAGATTTAGTCTCACCATCAGCATGAGAGCCAGGTCCAAATCAAACATGATCCAGGCCGGAGGGGACTGGGACTCTGCCAGCCTCCTGGCCAGGCAGCCTGGGGTGGGTGGGCCGGTAGGCGGGGGCTACTGGCAGCTGTTCTGTCTGCACCCAGCCAAGCTGCTGCTCTTGCTTGTCTTCTGCTTTTGGTTTTGAGCAGTTTGATGGCCCATTGCTCAGGTGAAGAGAGTGGAAACAGGACCGAGAGTGTTTTCATTTTTTCTTTTAACTGAGACAAGGTCTCACTATGTAGTTCAGGCTGGTGACGAACTCTACAGCAATCCTCCTGCTCAGCCTTTTGAATACTGGGTTTACTGGTGTGTGCTGAGGCACCTGGCAGTCTGAGGATGCTAAGAAAAGTCAGGTGCCCTCCTGTGGGGGGTGCAGCGAAGCAGACAGCCTTCCAGAGCCCTGGCCAGTTAGTTGGCCAGCCTGCTTCCCTGGCTCTCCCCAAGCTTTCCATCCTGGATGCAGAGCCTGAAGCCAGCTGCAAAGGTATGTATTTCACCCCAAGCCCAAGTGCCCCTCCTGCTGGGAGTGGCCTTACAGGGTTCACATCTCCGCAATCCCCATCAGACTACTGCCCCCCAGACTGTGAACTCTGGGTATGCAAGAACACAGTTGCTTCTCAATAAACTTGTTGCAAAAAACAGGAACGCACGATGGCTGTGTATTTATTAACGGGGCCCTTGACCTAGAAGATCCTCTGCCCTGCATAGGGAGCGTGCGCCCACCTGAGAATCTAGTCTCCCCAGCTAGGCTGTCTCGGGTTTCCGCGGGCGGTCACTGCTGCCCTCTGGTGGCCGTACGTTGTCTTGCAACTGCTGGAGAGTGGGGGCGGGAAACGATTTGGCATTTACAAAAATGCCAAGTTGGCAGTTTCCTCCGCAACGTGAAATCTGCTTGACCTTTGCTAAGAGCTTAAAAATTAGGAATCTTTGGGGTCAGGAGCGAAAAGGTCCTAGGTCCTGTCACCTACTATCACGCTGTGGACAGAGTTTTATTAGAAATAAAGCTTTAAAAAAGTTAACCCGGCCCAGCCAGGAGGCCGCACTCATCCACTCGTGGCTGGTGCCTACCTGCTGCGTGCCACCAGAGGGGGTAGCCGGCCCATTGTAACAGAAGAGAAAGCCACACGTGAGCTCAGCCAGGAGCTGTTTTGCGGGGATGGAAGGGCTCCTGGCATAAAGGTCCCATGCTTGGGATTTCGGCGTGGAGTGGGGTTACCAGTATCCTCACGCTGCGTGGAGAGGACTGGCAGACCTCAGATGATCTCCCCGGCCGAGTCTTGAGTTTACGCCGTCTCCGGCCCTGCCCAGAGGATGTCACTGCCCACGTGGTTAGTGATTTGGGGCCAAGCTTTGGTTACCCGGCAGAGGGCGCTGCTACCCACACTGCGGCCCGGGAGGCCGGCAGAGGGCAGGGAAGTGGAACCTTGGATCCCCTCCGCCGGTTCGCACGGCATGAAGAGAGGCCCCAGCGTCGGGGGCAGGCGTGACCCCCAAGCCTGCATCTTCTCGGGCAGCACGACAGCTACATCCTATGGGGAAACAGGCCAGATGTTGATCTGCGCCGAGGCCCACCCAGCCGGGAGACGACAGAGCTGAAGGCTGTACTCAGCTCGAGACCCCGGCTCGAACCCGGGTGCGGTGTGCGGGGTACTAGGCGAGTCGGCCAATCACAGGGTCCCCGCAAGAGGGCGGGGCCTGCCAATTTGGGGGCGGAGCCAGCCGGTGAAGGGAGCCGCAAACGGTCTGGCGTTACTGGCAGGGGGCGCGGCGGGATGCGCGCGGCGGGGTGGGCGTGGGAGCTGCGCTTGCGGCTACGTACCCCGTTCCCCGGCCGCCTCAGTTTCCCTTGCGCTGCGAGCTGAACACCCTGGGGCCCCGACCCCCGCCACTCCGGGCGGGCGAGGAGGTGGGCCCGACGGGGGCGTGACGGCGCGGGTGGGGCGTGGCCTTGTTGGCTCCGCCCACCAGCTCCCCTAGCTCGGCGCGGCAGGTCCCGCAGTGCTGCCGGCTTCGGGCGATGGACGCCCCAGCCGCTCCAGGCCCGGGCAGGAAGGAGCTGAAGATCGTGATCGTGGGGGACGGCGGCTGCGGCAAGACGTCGCTGCTCATGGTGTTCAGCCAGGGCGCCTTTCCCGAGGTGAGGTCGCCGGTGCGCGGGGGCTGGACTGGGGTCGCTGGTAGGCTGGGGACCCCCCCAGCGGGTGAGGGGCGACCCTCAGATCGCGTCTAGTCTGAGCCCTGGGTTCCCCGGCGCCCCCGCGAGAATCATACGACCCAGCGGGTGGGGGAGCTGAGCTGGGTGAGTGAGGTTGATGCGTGATGGGGGGGCCCTGGGCCCGGCTTGCCGCTGCTGGAGCCCGACTCGACCTCTTGCCCCGCAGCACTACGCGCCCTCGGTGTTTGAGAAGTACTCGACCAGCGTGACGGTCGGTAGCAAGGAGGTGACCCTGAACCTCTACGACACGGCCGGTGAGTGTGCGCCTCTGGCAACCCGACCCGAGAGGGTCCCCCACGCCGGGCATCCCTGCCTCTCAAGCCAGGAGGCCAGAGGAGCCTGGCCGCACCTGGAGTGGAGGCGACTCCCAACGCCTTGTTCGGAGGCCCCGGCTCGCTCCTCTCCAGCTGCGCTAGAAAGCGTGGGCTACACTCCTGCCCCCCCCCCATTCCAGAATCACGGATTCTAGGCCCAGGATGCTGCGGACAGAGGCCCCGAGTTGAGGACGCTGTGGTTAGCAGTTAGTTGTGTGTCTGAGGCTCAGGGCACCTGTGGATGTGAGTTCTGTGCTCCCGGCTTTTGGGGGCCCATGAATTTCAGGTGGCCTATGTGGAATCCCGCAGTTGCAGTTACTTTTGATCTCCCCCCCGCTCCCCCCCCCCCAGCAACTGGACAACTATAGTAGACGAACAGGGAAAGCTAGATGTGGCGTCGCACGCCTGCAAACCTAGTGCTTGGGAGGCTGAAGCAGGAAGACTGGGCAACCCAGCTTCATAGTGAGATCTTGTCTCAGAAAAATAAAACAAGAGCCGGTTGTGGTGGTACACACCTGTAATCCCGGCATTTGGGAGGCTGAGGCAGGGGGATTGCTGAGAGCTCAAGGCCAGCCAAGGCTACATGGTGAGTTTAGGACCATCTGGATATATACAGTGAGACCTTATCTAAATAAATTAATTCAAAAACTGAAGAGGGAGGGAGGGAGGAACAGAGGCTAGGAAGTGACCAGAGTGTGCTTCTGTGACACCCTACAGCTAGCTCATCACGGAGGGAAGTTAGGCCAGGACACAGCCTTTCTGGAAGGGAGCCTAGGAGACAGTAGACAGACCCTGGATTCCCTTCTTTGCATCACAATTTGGGGGCAAAGGTCAGGATCCCCAGGTGGAGCCTCACCCAGCTGTGTGACTCAGGGTTTAGTGACCTGGGTGGACCATCTCTAGCTGTCCCCTCCCCCTGGAGCCCAGCCTGTGTGCAAACCCGTTTTCACTGACTTTAGATGGGCCTGAAACCCCAACCCTGTCTTTCCCAGGCTAGGAATAGGGCCTCTCATTCCACTCTAGGCCTGAGCCCACCCTAGAGGGGGGTTCCCTGCCCTGCAGTGGCCTCTGATGAGCCCCGCTATGGGTGGGGACCCACAGGACTGTCCCAGAGCACAGCCTGCAGCCCCAGGGAAAGCCCAAGACTTCCCAAGAATTCCCCAGACGTGGCCAGTCCCCAGAACTAAAGGTCTTGGGGACACTTTTAGTTTCATATGCTTCTTGTTCCAGAGCCTTCAGACAGGACTGTTCCCCCTCCCCCCCAGTGGAGGTGCACAGCTGGTGCGACCACCTGGCACCTGGGAGAGACAGAGACATCTGCCATGTCTGCTGCGGGCCCTCTGGCAGCTCCAGTCCCCAGCAGGCTCCCTGTGAGGCCAGTGTCCCCTTTCAGGCTGAGAGGTGCTCCAGGGACCAGATAGAGGACAGGGCCTGCAACTGGTCCCCAGGGCTGCTGCTTGTTAAGGAATTTTGTGCCAGACTACGGAGGGACCGAGGGGTTCCTGTGGGTGGCCACCGGAAGCAGGGATGAACCTGTCCCCCCCACCACCACCCTGATGTGTGCTCTGTGGTCAGACCCGAGCTATGACGTCTGTCTCACCAGGGCTGAGACGGTTAAGAGTTAAATCAGATCACCATACACAACAGGGGGCTGGCTGTCGGGAGCTCTGGGGGTATTGTGGTTGTGATTTTGTTTTGTTTTGCTTTGCTTTTGTGGAGCTCAGAATCAGCCCCAAGGCTTCGTATGTACTGGAGGAGTGCTGTACTTCGACAGGATCCTGTGATTTATTGTTTATTTGGGGTTTTTGAGAAAACCTCAGGCTGTGTAGTTCAGGCTGGCCTTGGCCCCCCTGCCTCAGCTTCCGAGTGCTAGCATCATGGGTCTGCACCACCCTCCCGGCCCTCTGGTGATATTTTTTACATCCTCCTGTCACTCGGGATGAGGACTGTGTCCCCCTCGGCCTGGCTTCACAGGCAGAGCTGGCCAAAGGTCTGAGCCCCCTGTTAAGTGGCTTTACAGTAGGCTGGTGACAGCAGGCACACTGCGGTGGGGGAGACTGTGACTGGGGAAGCCTGTAGCCTAGGAAACCCCCTCAATTAGCAGCTTTTGGACTGCTAACTGACTGGGTCATTTCAGTGGGTGTCAGAGTGCAGCTCAGAAGCGACTGTGGCACAGATGATTCATCGAGACAGGGGTGGGGGGAGGACGCCAGGTGACCACTAGGAGAAACATGGAGACCACAGGTATGAGCGCAAGGGCCGGGCTAGAGTCCACCAGGCCAGAGGTGTAGAAAGTTCTAGAACCTTGATAGCCTAGGCCCAGGCAGCAGTGAGTGGAGCTGGGGACAGCGGTGGCCCAGGACAGCTGTGACAGGCCCTTCCTTGGCCCCAAGGCCCGTCTGGCCACATGTGTTGATCATCTTGCTGTGGAAGCTGCTGCAGGCACCATAGTGTCTGCTGCAGGGTCAGGGTCCGGTACCCACTGCTCCCTGACAGATCCCGAGGCCGGAAGCTGTGGTGGGGCCCAGGCTGGGGCGAGGGCTTGACAAGACACTAGCTTATCAGGCTGGGGCGCACAGCGGGAGAGGTGGATCCCTCCACAGCCCCAGGTGACCGTAGTGGGGAAAGGGGACCCAAGCCAGCCGCTCGTGCAAGGGTTTGGGGACACAAGGGGCACGATGCAGCATGGGGTCCCATCAAGGTCTGCAAGACTGGGAGCTCATGGCCCCTCCTGTCTCAGGAGGAAGCGCAGGTGGGTGGGCCGCCTGCTGGCGATTGTGGCTTCCTCTTCCGTTGCTTCCCCTTCTCACACTGCCACGCCCCAGCCCGGGGAGTGGGGGCAGTGACACCCCTCCTGCTTCAGCTCAGCTCTGGGCCTTGGGGAGACAGCACCCCTGCCGCAAAGGAAACACCTAGGTGGAGCGAGCTTCACTTCCACCCTCTCGTGGCTCCACCAACCACAGGAAGGTGGGCAGCTTGGGGAGCTTAGTTCTAGATGCCTCCCTGCCCCCAGACACAAGCATCCCCTGTACAGATCACTGGCTGGGCTGGTATTTACTGATTGGTTAGGTCTTTTTGAAATAGGGTCTGGGTAGCCCTAGCTGGCCTCAAATTTGAAGGGCTCCTCCTGCCTCAGCCTCCTGAGTATGGGCTCACAGGTGTGTATCACTACGCCCGCCCGTGGCCTGCAGGCCGTTTACTAAGCAGGTCAGGCAGGGCTAAGCAGTCCCTTTCCCAGAAAAAGAAGCCAGCAGACCCAGGAGAAGAGGGTGTCTGAATGGCACAGGATGCTCCTGACCTGGGTGCCACAAGGAATCCAGGACACCCAAGCCCTCCAGGTAGGCACAAGCTACAGCAGCACCCGTAGGCCCTAGGACAGAGTCAGACCAGGAAGGCGGCCCATAGAAGGTGCAGGGCTGGGCAGGGTGGCTGAGGTGGGCACTACTCCCCAGTTCTCTCTGGGGTAACTGGAGGAAGGCACCCCACAGCCCTGCCTGTAGCTTCGTGCCCTGGGGTGAGTCACTTCGGCCCTCTGTGCTTTGGGGCAGTGATGACATACCACAGGCAGAGGGACCTCGGAGGGGTGCCGTGCGATTGATTCACCATCGTTTGCTGGGTGGCAATCGATGTTTCTCGGGGGGGGGGGGGTGGAACCTAGGGCCCCTCACAAGCTGGCGGAGCGCTATGGTCTGTATCCCTGTGAGACAGGATCTCAGTGAATCACCCAGGCTGCATTTGAATGTGTACCCTCCTGCCTCAGCCTCTCGGAGTGCTGGGTATAAGCGCCTGGCTAACCACCAAGCCTTAGCTGCTTTTCACACCCGTTGAGACTGGGGACCAGGGTTAGTTCCTCTGGGGATGGCTCCCTGGGAGAATTTGAACTTCATTTGTTTGGTTGATTTGGTTTTGTATTTACAGTACTGGGGATTAAACTCAGGGCTTTCCCTGAGCTTCATCCCCAGTCTGTTTTCTCATTTTGAGAGCGGGTCCCACTACGTCACTAAATTGCCCAGGCTTGGCTCAAAGTTGCAACCCTCCTGCCTCAGCCTCCACCACACCTGGCTGAGCTGGTGCTCCGGCACAGCCTGGCTGGAAGTGACCTTGTCCTGAGAACCAGCTGGTGTCGCCATCACAGGTGTCCATCTGACCTTGACTGATGCCCCTTGCCCGCTTGGGCTCCTCCCAGGAAAAAGGTTCCTGCCCCTCGAGTTCTCTCTCACACCCTGGCTGCTGACAGATCTCAGGCCGGGAAGTCGGGGGCCACACGAGCAAGCGCCAAAGGGCGGATTTCGCTCGCCCACACGTGTGTTTTCCCCTGTGCTCCTGCATTCTGAGCTCTCCTGTGCTCCAGGGAGCCGCACAGAGGTGGCCCTGTCCTCGGGGAGAGGAACAAAGCCAGAAAGGGGACAACAGGTGACAGCTTGTGCCTAGGAGCACAATAAAGCCAGGCTCATGGGTCAGGCTGCTGGGGAGCTGTGTGGGCATCAGGAAAAGGCTCATGGAGGAGGTGACGACCTTGTGGAGACCTGCAGGAAACCAGGGGCGCGAACCAGGCAGCTCCCTGTCCAGAGACCCCGCTGGAAGAGGGACAGCAAACCAGCCTGGAATTCCATATGCCAGGAGGCTGAGGTAGAACAAAAATAGGACTGGGGATATTGCTAGCTCAGTGCAAAGGCCATGGGTTCAGTGCCAGTGCTTAAAAGCAAAAAAATACCCAGGCATGGTGGTACACACCTGTAATCCCAGCATTTGGGAGGCTGAGGCAGGAGGATCACCCATGAGTTCAAGGCCAGCCTGCACTATGTAAGGAGATCCTATCTCAAAAAAGAAAGGAACAGCAAGAGCTACTGGCCCCACTGTGTCTGCACACTGGCCCCCTCCTGCAGGGCAGTGAGGAGTGCAGTCACCAGACCCATGGAGCCTGGCGTTAGATTGCAGAGGCCAGGCCTGTTTTCACCAGCACAGACCAGATGGGAGTGGGTCTGGCTCAGCACAGGAAGATGCCATAGCTGGGGTGTTGGGGCTGGAGCCCAGGGCGTCCTCACCTTTGACCCCGAATGCTCTGCAAGGCTCCCTGGGAATCCCTTGGCAGTGGGCAGGTCTGTCACTTGTGTGACACTCCATTGTTCTCTTTGTTTTTTTCATACTGAACTATAGGCCCAGCCCCCTCCCTGCCCGCCCTCCTTTTTAAAAATTTTGCAGTCAGGGCTTGCTAAGTTGCCCAAGTTGGGCTAGAACTTGTGATCCCCCTGCCTCAGCTCTTAGAGCGCTGAGGTTACAGGAGTGCGCACCACCATGCCAGACCAAAATGCAGTAGCTCTCTACAAACAGGAGGATGGGTCTCTCAGGATGGCCAACTAGGTTCCCACAAGTGACAGAATCCATGCATGCTCGACCTGCTAGGTTTTTTGCTTTGGGGGTTTTTGAGACAGGCTCTTGCTATGTAGTCCAGGCCGGCCTTGAACTCACAACAATCCTCCTGCCTCAGCCTCTCTAGTTGCTAGATTACAACTTCTTACATAAAGTGCTGTGGTAGGTCTGGCAACAGCGCCTGCCTGGCAAGTGCAAGGTCCTGAGTTTGATGCCTAGTACCACCCCACACAAAAAAGTGGTATTTGCACATGAACTGTGCACTCCTCAAACCATCCCTAAATTCCTGGGCACACCTAGCACAATGGGAATTGCTGTCAAAGGGGGATCAGTGACCAAAAATGGTCCACGCTCAGGACAGATGCATTTTTTCTTGAGCGTTTTCTAGTCAAGCTCATTTCTGTGCATTCAAGACCTCAGGCTTGGGCTGGGGATTTAGCTCAGTGGCATAAGTGCCTGCCTTGCAAGCATGTGGTCGTGAGTTCGATACTTGATACCGATTAAAAAAAAAAAAAAAAGACTTTACACTATGGGGACCAACTGTGTTCATAATCCCCCTAACCCACTGGGTTGTAACGTGAGGATTTCTGTTATACAATGTCGCATGGAGGCACCATTATGAAAGCAGAGGCAGGGAGAAGGCATCCTCAAGAGGGAGTCATACAGTCTGATTTTTTTCCCCAGTACTAGGAATTAGACCCAGGGAGCACGAGCTACATCCACAGCCCTTTTAAACTCTTTTTTTGGCCAGGCGTGGTGGCACACACTGTATAATGCTGGCACTCAGGAGGCTGAAGCAGGAGGACTCCTGTGAGTTGGAGGCCTGCTTGGTTTACATAGTGAGACCCTGTCTCAAAGCCCAAAGGGAAAACATAAATGTTGAGAGGAAGTCTTGCTGAACAGCTCAGGCTGGCCTTGAACTTGCACACCTCCGGCTCCACCCTCCTGCAGGCTGAGATGACAGGTATGGCTTGGTTGAGGGTGAGGGGAGAAGGGTGGGGTGAGTGTTCCAGGTGCGGGCACTGTGTTCACTGAGGCTGTAGGGCACCTCGGGAAGCACTGCTAGACAGCCAGGAGTGAGGAAGCGAAAGTGGGGCCTGGCACCAGGGCTCAGCGGGGCGGGCTCTGCCGGTGCTGTACGATCCATCCTGCAGCGGTGGAGAATGGAATCTCCGAGGAGCTGCAGTGGGTGTTGCTGGTTTAGTGCCATTAAGTTAAAGCGGCCTCATGGCTGAAGGACAGGGAGAAAGGCTAGGGGATGGGGGACAGGCTGGGGACAGGTGCCAGCTGACCCTGCGCCAGCTCCCCACTGCTCACCAGGAGGGAGGAGGGGTCTGTGGTCAGCACTCGTCCACCTTGGGGGCCCTGGCTGAAGGACAGCAGGACAGCCGCCTTCATCGCATGGCTGCATACCGGTGACAGTGCCGACAGTGCCGTGAGGGTAGGGGGCGGGCCTGGGACCAACTCATGTCTTCCCTGCCTCTCGTGCCCATGACTTCCCCCAGCTGGGGTTGGATTCCCAAATCACGTCCCCCAGCTTCATCCCCAACCCTTTTTATTCTGAGGTAGCCTCAATCAGTTGTCCAGACAAGACTAGGACTTCAGATCCTCCTGCCTCAGCTTCCCCAGGGCTGGGATCACAGATGTGCGTTGCTGTACCTGCCTTGTTCCCGTGAGCTTAAGCACTGCGCTGTGGCAGAGCTGCCCAGAGCTGGTCCCTGAGGCAAGCAGAGCCAGGCTGTATCAGGTCCTTGGTGGCACGGAGCCAGGAGACGCCGGGGGAGAGGCCACTCATGCTGAGAGGACTCAGGGAGGCTGACACCACCTGGCACTGCGGCAGCCAAAGACCGGGGTGGGGTGGGAGCCTCCATGTCCTTGCAGTGGGGGCGGGGAGCCTATGCACCTGCAGACTTAGTAATTCCAAAAAAAATCCCAGGGTACTTCCATTAAACAGTGCAGCACCCTGACTGCTCCTAGACTAGGAAAAAATAAAGGTCGCTGTCGGGGACTGGGTGACACCGGAATGCACCTGTGGTTGGGATCAGAGCATAGGCCCCTGACCGCCGCCTCAGGAAACCACTGAGCTGCTCAGGGCATTTGCAGTGATCGCAGGGTCCAGAGACAGATGTTCAGGTGTAGACAAGCAGGCAGGGTGAACAGTCTGCCGCCTGGAGCTTTCTGCACCCTTGGTTGCAATTTCTGTCTAACTTTGAAACTGCCAACACAAAAAGTTAACCTACACATTTCTTTAAAAAGCAGGAGAACCAAACTGGGCGAGGTGGCCCATGCCTTGTAGTCCCAGCACTCAGAAGGCTGAGGCAGGAGGACTGCTTCAAGTTTAAGACCGGTCTGGGTTACATAGTGAAAACCTGTCTCAAAAAAACAAGGGGCTGGGGATTTAGCTCAGCGGCATAAGCGCCTGCCTTACAAGCAGGCAGTCGTGAGTTCGATCCCTGGTACCGATAAAAAGGAAAAAGACAAAAAAAAAAAAAAAAAATAAGAGAACTTGCTGGATGTAGTTGCTAACCATTACCTTCTAGAGGCTGAGGCAGAAAGATCACCTCAAGCTCAAGGCGAGCCTAGTCTCAAAAAAAAAAAAAAAAAAAAAAGAAAAGAAAAAAGAGTCAGAGTAGCAGTGTTGAAGCCAGGACTTCCCTGGGGAAGCCTGAGGTGCAACTGGAGCCCACAGCTGCTAACCGGGGTGAGGTGGTGGGGGGTACTTGCTGTTATTTCTGGCACCCTTCTCCCTGCCACTCTAGCATGGGCTGCCCAGAGGGCACTCACTGTGGGCAGAACTGCTGGCAGCTGTAGTGGAAGCACATGCCTATAATTATAGCACTCTGGGAGGCTGAGGCAGGAGGATCAAAAGTTCAAACCCAGCTTGTACAACTTCTGTGACTTAATGAGACCCTGTCTCAAAAATAAAAATGGAATAAAATAAAATAAGATAAAAATGAGCTGGAGGTGCAGCTCAGTGTGAGGATCCAGGGTTCAGCACCACAAAGAAAGAACCAGCTGGCAGTCTTCCCAGCACTTAGCTGTGATCAGCCCAGCTCGGAGCATGTGGGCGGCTGCACCTGGGAGCCCAGCAGGGGACTCGGGTCACAGGGAAGGTCTCTCTGGCACAGGACAGGAGGACTATGACCGCCTGCGGCCCCTGTCCTACCAGAACACCCACCTCGTGCTCATATGCTATGACGTCATGAACCCCACCAGCTATGAGAACGTCCTCATCAAGGTGAGGCCCAGACTGCCTGGGTCCAGGGCGGGGGGCGGGGCAGCACAGCACAGCACAGCCCTGGCTGACTCTCCCTCCTCTCCCAGTGGTTCCCTGAGGTCACGCATTTCTGCCGAGGGACCCCCATGGTGCTCATCGGCTGCAAGACTGACCTGCGGAAGGACAAGGAGCAGCTGCGGAAGCTGAGGGCGGCCCAGCTGGAGCCCATCACCTACAATCAGGTGGGCAGCCCGGGCACCCAGTTCCAACTCCACACAAGGCCATGGCCTGGATCTCTGGTCTCTGCACTAGGGCTGCCTTGGTAGCTTCTCCAGGAGGATTCTTGTTTGTTTGTCTGAGACAGGGTCTCATTGTGTAGCTCACTGGCATCAAACTTACTGAAATTCTCCTGCCTCAGCCTCCTAAGTGCTAAGATTACCATATGCACAACCATGCCTGACTAAGCAAGGAGGATCCTAAGAATAATTTTAAATTACAGCTGAAAGGGCTGAGCACTGAGTATAGTACTTACCTTCTCTTACCCTCATGCCTCTGAGGCATGAACGATTAACATCCCCAGTTTACAGGGGAGAAACTGAGTCCCAGAAAGGTTAAGTACCTTTCCCACAGACAAACAGCTGAGCAGATGTGAAGCCAGGATCTGGTCGCACTGAGCCTCTTTCCAGTCCCGTCTGCCTGGAGGATAGTGGAGCAGGCCCTTGATTGAAAACTGGCCATTGGATATTGTGGTGCACCCCAAAACCCAGCACTTTGGGAGGCTGAGGCAGGAGGATGCACGTTTGAGCTCACCTTAGCGATTTAAGATCCTGTCTCAAAATAAAAAATAAAAGGGGCTAGGGATGTAGTTCAGCATGAAGACCTTGGGTTCAGTTCCCACCAACTGCCCCCAAAAAGTAGGTGTCCCTGAAGAGTGGAGGGCCAGTCCAAACCCTGTAACTCTGGGGGTGAGGCATAGGAAATACATAGAAGACAGAACACAAAAGCAGATTAATAATAAGGAAACTTTCATAAAAAGGAAGAAGCCAGGCGTGGTGGTTTACACCTGTAATCCCAGCACTCAGGAGGCTGAGACAGGAGGATCATGGGGGTTGAAGGCCAGCCTGGGCTACATAGTGAGTGCAAAGGCCAGCCTAAACTACACAGCGAGTCTCTTGTCTCAAAAGTATATGTATATTTAAAAGATTTTTGAAAGCTAGGAGCGACCAGTGCAGTCAGAGAGAGGGGTACATCGGTCCTCGGTGTCTCTTGGGACCACCTGGCTTCTCTGCCTGCTGAGAGGGCAAGGTGGGAGGGGGCGCAGGGGACTCCCCCAGCGGGGCTGCAGCCCCCTCACAGCTTGCTCCCCACAGGGCCTGAGCGCCTGCCAGCAGATCCGCGCCGCGCTCTACCTGGAGTGCTCCGCCAAGTTCCGGGAGAACGTGGAGGACGTGTTCCGCGAGGCGGCCAAGGTGGCGCTCAGCGCACTCAAGAAAGCGCAGCGGCAGAAACAGCGCCGGCTCTGCGTGCTGCTGTGACCCGTGGGCAGCCACAGCGGGGACGCAGGGGCGCGGGCCGGGGCTGGGGGCATGGACCCGCTCAGGACTCGACTCACCCGCGGGCCCACGCTGGTGGCCACTGAGGTCCCTGTACCCAGCCAGCCCTTGTCCCTGGGCGCACCCCAACGCGGGGGTCCCCTGTGCACACCCAGCTCACGCGGAGAACTTGGCAGATGCCAGGTACCTGCGTGGTCGCGACTTGGCACCGCCTTGCACCAGTGCCTGCGCCGCTGCTCTCCGGTGCCCGCCTCACTGCACCTCGGAGATAGGCAGGCTGCATCCTCCTGCCTCTTCCTCCCTCCCCCGGGAAACCAGGCCCTGTGGGGCCAGGGCCTATCAGGATGCAACAGGCAGCACCCCCGGATGTGGGGCAGGCACCAGCCAAACCCCCCTCCTCCATCCCACACAGAGGAGCTCGGCCTCAGCAGGGCCACTGTGTTCAGAGCTGGGCATGTGGAGAGGAACAATCTTGAAATGCCGAGTGCCTGCCCTAGGCCACCCATCTGACCCTGCTGCAGATCTTCCGGGTCAGGGACCGGATGGAAAGCCCAGGAGCGGAAAGCCAGGTAAAGGGTCCGGAGTCCCAGGGGCCCCGACAGCCCACTTCTAGCAGCCCGTCTCATGCACAAGGATAGCGTCTCAGACCAGCCCAAGACCAAGCCTGCCAGCGTCCAGAGAGCCTTCCCAAAGCTCTAGGGTCGGGGCCGTGAGACTGTGACGCCCTCTGCTGAGAGCTACTAGTTGTAGAACCACTAGGACCTGGCACTGCTGGAGAAGCAGCCATGGATTTGGGCTTGGTGGGCGACCTCCTGCCTCAGCCTCCCTCTGCCGGCCAGATCAAGTCAGGCTGCCCCGGGGAAGACTGTGGAAGCCCCACCCCTGGGGAAGGACTTAAGCGTCTTGTTCTCATAGAACCCAGGGTGTCACGCATAAGTGTTGGCGTGGGGCAGAGGCCAGCAGACCACAGCCTGTGGGCCACACCTGGCCACTACCTATTTTTGTAAATAAAGTTTTATTGGCACATGGCCATACCCGCTCCCACCTGCGCTGGTGACTTGCTTGACACCTGCACACTAGAGCCACAGAGACCTCATAGTCCACGGAGAAGCCTAAAATATTATTTGGCTTCGACAGAAAAGATTTGCTGCCCCTAAAGACGGGGCAAACCCAGGGGCCTGCAAACGGTCAGGCAGGAGGAAAGCACAGGCATAAAGGGCATGGAGGCCAGGTGACCTGAGGGCCAGAGCTGGCTGTGCAGGAATGCTGCCACATCTGTCCTTTATTTGTCCCCCTTTGGTGTTGGGGAACTGGATCAGGGCTTTTACACTGAGCTGTAACCCCAGCCCGATTTTTTCTATTTTGAAAGAGTCTCGCCAAAGTCACTAAGGTACTCAGGCTGAGCTCACAATTGCAACCCTCCTGCCTCAGCCTCCCAGAGTGCTGGGATTACAAGTGTGCAGCATAATGGCTGGTCAGATCTTTTTTCAGGGAAAGTAAAACTTTCAATTTTTGTGAAATCAGCATAGGGAGGGGATCTTTTCAAATATAACAATTTGAAACACTTTTGAAGGTGAAACTAATCAGGACCATGGACACCATCAGGGATGGCTGGTGGGGTGGATCCACAGGGAAATTGTTAAAGGCAGCTAAGGCCTGTAGGCCAGAGGGGACAGAACCTTCACCCAAGCCAGGCGGCTTCCCCACCCTTCCTGCCACTAAACCTGATGCCACGTGGTCCTCAGGGGGTAAGCCTATGCGAGCTGCCCCCTCACACACACACACAGCCCAGAACCTTGGTGGAGGAGGGAGCTGAGGAGTAGGCGGGGTCCTTGGGTGTGGACAGTAAGACTGAGGCCTAGGCTGGAGGACTGAGCCAGGCAACCCAGCAAACCTATCTCAAAATAAGTAAAATGGCCTGGGGATGTAGCTCAGTATGGAAGCTGCAGGCTGGATCCCCAGTAACCCAAAATGAAAAACTAAGGCAGAGGGAAAGGTCACGTGAAGGCCAGCAAGAGTGGACTGAACTTTTCTGGGTCCTTCAAATCTGCAGCCACTGAACTCATAGCCTGGGGCGCCCCCTGGTGGTAGCCTTCCTTAACCCCTCTCCCGTGCCAGGCCGGGCTCTCTAAGGGACAGGGCCAGGTCCCCATGTGAGATTCAGGCAGGCAGGAGACAAAGGAAGCACGAGGTGGCGGAGACAGGCTGTGGTTCTCTGAGAACTTAAATAACCCCACCCAGGGTGGGGGCAACTTGGGGGGGGCACAGGATGCAGAAGGTGTCACCTGTCCCACACAGGATGCAGTGGGTAACAGGGCAGCGGAAATCCAACCCAGAGAGGCACATCTGAACCCCACCCCGAGGGGCTCCCTGAGGCATGGACCCCACCCAGGAAGATGACCGGGACTCGGCCTCCGCTGAGAGCAGCTGGGGGACCTGGTATTAAATACGTCATAAATAGGGCTAATACTGCGAGGACAGCGCCGTCGCATTCTGCGTCAGGCGGGACGCGCTCGCTCCAGCACCGTGCTGGCCCCTGAGATGTTGCTGCCCGGGAAGCCCAGGATCTCTGAGCCGGGCCGGGTGTGCAGTCCGAGGCTCACAGCCTCTCAGTCCTGCTCCTGCCCGGAGCTCCATAGGGCGCGAAGACCCGGGCTACGGCTTCTTCGTTTTGTTTCTGTTCTGCTGGAGTTTGGTGTGCACGACCTTGAGTGTGGTGAGGAAGTTGCCCAGGAAGAGGACGAGGAAGGTGAGCGCCAGCACGAACACCTAGGGGATCCAGGTGGCACCCCGGGGTGGACAGGTGGGGCAGGGGAAAGCTTTGGTCAGTGCCCCCGGGGCAGCAGCCGCCCCCTGCCCTGGACCCTGGGATGCAGAGCCACCAGCAGAGGGTGGAGATGAAGGCCCTGGGAGCCCCTCAGCTCAGGGAACAAGAAAGGGCCTGGTGCCCTGAGATCCCCCCACCCCACGGCCTAGCAGCAGAGAAGTTGGGGCAGCAGGGCCCCAAGGCCATGAAAAGGAGGTAGCTAAGCGGCCCAGCCCTCCACAGCTGGGCAGCAGGCAGGCCGTACCTGCCATTCCCTGCATTCCTCGTGGGTGGAGAGCTCAAACAGCGTGACGGCATTGTAGAGCTGCCAGAACTGCAGACAGACGGGGGACAGGCACGAGGCATGGTCACCACATGCTCCCCTGGGGACTCTGTGGGAGCCATGGAGACGGAGCTTCCCCACCCCCCACCCTCGCCAGCTGCCCAAGATGCCACTGCATAAAACTGTAGCCTGCAGGCAGAGCTGGGAGAGGCTGGAGGACTCAGGGCTCAACAGTCACCAAAACAGCAGGGCACAGAGGCACAGCTGGTGACCGGGGGCAGCCTGAGGACCTCTGTTTCGGGCAGAACAAGGGATGCGGGACGCCTGCACCAGGGGACTCACGTGGCCACAGAAGAGGAACGGCAGGAGGAAGGTGAGGCCCCGCCACATCCAGGACTGGAACCCTTCTGCAGGGAGGAGCAGGAGTGAGGGGCCGCAGCGGGGCTCCCTCAGATCCACAAGGCACAGTCCAGGCAGGCACAAGCCTGAGAACTCCCTGGTGCACGGGCAGTGTGTCTTTACTGATTTCTTCTCTTTCGTGTGTGTGCACACTTGTGCAAATGCCTCACCCTCTCCTTCTCCCTCCTGCACCCTCCTTCTGTCCCTCTCTTGCTGTTTTTCAGTACTGGGGATTGAAGCCAGGCCCTCTGCACTGAGCTACAACTCAAATACTTTTAATCTATTATGTAGAGCCAGGATCTTACTAAATTACCCAGATTGGACTCAGATTTGTGATCCTCTTGCCTCAGCCTCCCAGAGTGCTGACTTTACAGGAATGTGTCACCCCACCCAGTACATATTTAATTTGTGTAGGATTTTGTAATTTCCTAGACTTTTATTTTTTTTTGTCTTTTTGAGACAGGCTCTCACTGTGCAGTTCAAGCTGGCCTTGAGCTCACTTTGTAGTCCAGGCTGATCTTGAACTTGCAACGATCCTCCTGCCTCAGCCTCCCAAATGCTGGGATTACAGGTGTGTGTGCCACCCTGCCCAGCTATTTCCTGGACATTTTCATGCACCATTTTGATTGCATCTTGCCAAGTAGACTCCCTTTGCAGAGTAATTTGCAGAGGAAATGACAAACAGTAGCAGAGTGTTATTAGAAGCAGTCTGTCTTCTAAAGTTCAGACGAGGGGACTGCAAGCTTTTCTAACTAGGTATGGCTGTGGGTGAAAGTTGGCCATACACCCCAGTGTATGTAACGAGTGTTATGTTTATGCATACTTGTATGTAGACATGTTATATATCAGTTAGATGCATGACTGACAATATGCTAACATTGCATACGTGTAACACAGACGAACCAGATGTGGTGGCACAGATCTGTAATCCCAGCTACCCCAGAAGCTGAGGCAGGAGGATCACAGGTTCCAGGCTAGCTCTAACTTAATGAGAGCCTGTCTCAAAATTAAAAAAAAATAAAAATGGCTGTGAATATACTTCGTGGGTACAACACTTGCCCAGCATGCAGGAAGCTCCGAGTTCAACCCCCAATACCAACAAAACAAAATAAAAACTATGGACAAAACAGACCTCTTAAGGGGGACACAGTGGAACCCCAGCACCAAGGGCCCCAGCACTCAGCTGTCCCCGCACGGCGAAGGATGCAGAACCCACTATGAATTGTGCAGAGCAATACCTGAGTGGGGGGCGGGCAGGCGGGGGTTGGAACCCCGCCCACTACTCACCGACAGTGAGGTCCAGATGGTTCCTCTCGCCCAGCGCCCGCAACCTGTACAGGCAGCCCCGCTGGTAGTAGTACTGCAGGAACTGCACGCAGCCTGTAGAGGGCGCACGCCGGGCTCAGGTTGACGCAGGGACAGGACAGGGTGCCCCTGTCCTCCAGGCCCAGGGCTGACAGCTAACCAGGGCTGCCAGGGCATGGCTGGTCCCAGGGCCAAGGGGCCACCCTCTCCTCCCCACCCCCTCGCTAAACCAGAAGCCACCGTATCCTTCATCCAGAATCCAAGAAGCACTCGGATGCACAAGCAGCAGAAACCCCACCAGACTTAAAGGACTGGGGTTTCCCAGCCACACGACAGGTGCTGCGCTGCAAACCACGCCGAGCTGCGAGAGGACCTGCGTGCAGGGCTAGGACACACGAGGGACACTTTGTAGCTGCTTAAAAAATGAGGATACAGGGACACAAGACCAGCCCTGAACTGCTTCAGTACATATGAACATGCATGTGCATGCATAAAAACAGGACCACATCACTGATCACTCCTAAGGAATTATACACAATTCCCACTCTTCCTTCTCCAAATGTGTGTTTGTTTGTAAGCAGGTTCTCATTTAGAAATAAGGTTGCTTTTATGTTTGGTTGCTTTTTTGTTTGTTTGTTTTTGGAACAAGGTCTTGCTATGTAGTTCAGGCTGGTTTAGAACTCACTATGTAGCCCACACTGGTCTCAACTCATGAAATCCTCTTGCCTTAGCCTCCCAAGTACTGGCAACTGAGTTGCATTCTGGGAGAGGGGATACAGACCCAGTGTGTGCTATGGTCCCAGCTATTGAGGAGGCTGAGGCTGAGGATGACTTGAGCCCAGCAGCTGGAGGCCAGCCTGGGCCACATGACAAGACCCCCACCTCCAGGGAAAAAGATTTCTGATTGGGGACAACTCAGCAGGACAGCACATCCAACCCCAGCACCAAACGTTGCGTACAAATCCAGAGCTATTCTACAGTGGGAAAAGTTAATACTTATTTCTACTTTGAGGATTTCCTTGAAACAGTGAGACAAGGTCAGCGCCCTCCAAAAGACTGGTCTTGTTCCCTCTGGGAAGTGCTGGGGACTGGAGCAGGTGACCTGGGGGTGACAGCCTCTCCCCTGCCACCCCAAAACGAGGATCAGGTACTCACTCTGGAAAATAGAAAACGCTAAAAACTGATCTCGAAACTTCTGATAAATGAGTCCGTTAGGCCTGGAGGGAGGGAGGAAAAGTGAGGGTGAACCGGACGCTCACCTTCCCACCAGGGTCCCTGGTGTCAGCCCTTCCTCATCCTGGCCCGGTGCCGGTGATTCCAAAGCCTCAGTCCCTCCAGCCGCCCCACCCTTCACCCCATCAACTCTGCCCCAGCAGAGGATTGAAACTGCCCCAGGAAGCTCCCGGCAGGATCCACAGGGCCCTGGCAGCAGGGCCTCCAACCTTTCATCAGCTCCGAGACCCATGTGGCCCCAAAGGTCCCCCTGCACCAGCCCTGGTTCGTGCCAGCTCCCTGGGGAGGCTCAGGGCCATGGGGGCGACTCACCACGTCAGCATCACCCCTGACAGGAACGTGGAGACGTAATGGTGTGACACCCACCAGCCTTTGATTCTTGGGAGAAGGCGAGAGAGAATAGATGCTCAGACGGAGAGAAAGGTACCTCTGCTTCCAGGCCTTGCAGGCCGGCACAGCCACCCCGCCCCACTCTGTCCTACGCCAACCCCTCAACACACAGCTAATCCCACTTCACTGAGAAGCTGGAGCACCTGCACCGCCTTTCCTTGACCTGTCTGAGCCTGTTAGGGACTGAGTGGGTCCCCAGCTTCCTTAGGTGACTGTATTTGCAGACAGAAGCATTAAAGATTCAACCAAAGGGAGGTCACAAAGGTGGGGCCCTGATCCGCTGTGACTGGTGCCACTGCAGGAGAGAGACACAGCAGAGATGCCGTGTCTATGCCCAAAGAAAAGCCCTGTGGGACGCAGCCCAGGAGCAAGGTCTCAGGAGAAGCCAGATCTCAGGAGCTAGCCCACACCCCAGGACTTCAGCCTGCAGCACAGAGGCAGAAGTGTCTGTTAATATACCCGACAGAGCCCTGTGCTTGCTGTCTTCTCTGCCCCAAGACTCTGGAGTTGGGTGCAAAAACATTTCACCATGTAGTGCATTGTAGCCTCAAATTTGAGGCGATCCTCCTGTCTCAGCCTCCTGAATGCTGGGATTATAGGCATGGGCCACCTCACCCAACTTTGCTCTGAGACTGCCTACGTGGGTCTGGGCAGGCTCAGATCACCCGTCACTTCTTCCAAAAGGCCTCCCTGGACCACAGGGACCAAGCAGCTGCACAACGCACCCCCGGTCACACCTATTTCCCTTCCTGATGCCGTCCTCAGTCTGAGATCATGTATCCTGAGACCCGTGTCCAGGTGGCTCAGGTACTATTAGAACTACCCACCCCCATACACGGAAGCCCCGAAAGGGCAGGAGCCTAGTGTGTTCACCAATGCATCTGTAATAACAGGATTGGAGCAGTTGCTCCGTAAACATGTTGAATAAACATATGTGAGCATGTGCACAGAATCGCTGGCACAGGCGTGGCACATGCCGCAGGCTCATCTCTGCCACCCTCTCCAAGCCCTGACTTCCTGTCCCCATTCCAGGAGCTGTGGGGTCCCTGATATCAGAACTAGGGCTCCCCCAGCACCAGGCCCTCTCAATACAGTGAGAAGGGAGCCTGGTTAGGTCCCTGCCCCAGGCATTGGCTGAGGAACAAAGGACCGGGGTTCTGGAGCCAAGAAGGGGAAGGGGCCCCGCCCACCCTCACAAGGGGGACCCAAGAGAGTTTGCTGCTAGCCTGGGGGCTTCTGCTTGACTCTTCTAACTCAAATCCTGCAGCCCGCTCTCCTATCTTAACTGCCAAGCCTACTGACAATAGACCCTGGGCTGGGGATTTAGCTCAGCGGCATAAGCACCTGCCTTGCAAGCAGGCGGTCGTGAGTTCGATCCCGGTACCGATAAAAATGAAAAAGACAAAAACAACAACAAAAAAAGACAATAGACCCTGAAACAGGATCTCACTATGTAGCTCAGGTCAGACTTGAACTCATGATTGTCCTGCCTCAGGCTTCCGAGTGCTGGGATTAAAAAGTATCACCACACCTGTCATTTATTTTTATTTTATTTTTTTGAGATAGGATCTCACTATGCAGTTCTGGCTGGCCTTGGGCTCAATTTGTAGCCCAGGCTGGTCTTGAATTTTAAAAGATCGTCCTGCCTCAGCCTCCTGAGTGCTAGGGTTATAGGAGTGCACCATCACCAGCGTGTGGTTCTAGCCTTGTCTCTATGGCTCTTCCACCACGTCTCATGCTTCTCAATGCTATTGTGACATCTTGTGCAAGTTCCCTAGCACAATGACACTCTCTCCATGGTGACTACCAGAAGCAGGCTAGCTGGATTAGGGGTGAGACTTGGCATATTATACTCCAGAACTGTCACCCCCATTTACACACGCATCAGCAGTACGTTGAGTACCTGGTTCCCCAAAGCATCACCAATACTGTCGATCACATTTTATATTTTTGCCAGTCTTTTTTCTTTTTTTGGTACCACCAATTGAACCCAGGACTTAAGACTGACCTATACTCTCCAGCCTTTGGTATTTATTTTATTTATTTAGAGACAGGGTCTCACTAAATCACTATGTTCCCCCAGGCTGGGCTAGAACTTGTGATTGTCCTGCCTCAGCCTCCAAGAGCTAGGATAACAGACATGCACCACCACACTCAGCTTGTTTTCGTGTTTTTGTTTCTGTGGTGCCAGGTACAGAACCTCGGGCCCTGCACACTAGGCCCTGCACTCTGTGACTGAACTCCACCTTCAGTCTATCACTGAAGTTTTAATTTTCATTTTCCTACCAAGTCGGTTAGATGTGTCTTAAAATCTTCCAATCAGAACACATAACTTCACAAAAACAAGGACTGCATCTTAACCACCTCCTTTCTCCTCTTTCCTCCAGCGACAGCTAATCACACCTGAGGAGTTACCTAAGAGAAGAGGTTTTATGTGGCTCTGTGCTCCTAGTGCAATACCAGATAAACAAAAGGCACTCAGTAAAAATTGATATGCATGACATTCCAGGAGGCATGGCTGAGGAAGGGAACAGGACAGGACATCCCTCAGGCATACCTCTCTGTCCCCAGCACCCTCCAACCTGTCTTCCTGTTCCACCTGCAATTCTGTAAGAGTGAAGGCAGCTGACCTGACCCTCAAAGGGCAGCCAAGAGGTCTGGTGGCATCCTCCCCTGGCTCTGGAGGCCACTGGGAGCCCTCAGATCGGGCTACCGCTTCTCCTTTGTCCTACTCTGCAAGGGTTCCCTGAGACATGCCCTCTCCCTGTTTGAGAGTGACCTGAGCCAGTCACAGACTCTGGCATCAAGCCTGATGGAGCAGCAGCTTTTAATTTCACAGCCCATTGTGCCCACAGCCAAGTTCTGACAAATGCCACCAATCAACAAAGCTCAGTGACACTGAGGGAGCTGAAAATCATATCTTCCTGGGCCCCATCGTCCATCCGCCGCCCCAGGACTCTGAGCTGGTGTAATACATGTGTTTCTACTGTGACATTCTCCGCGGCCTGCCAGCGCCATGTGTCCATTCCGACGGCAGAGCCTTAAGCCAATGAGAGTCGGCAGTGTAGGCTGGCTCGTTAGAAAATCAACATCGTTGTTGATTCATTACTCTTTCTGGCCCAGAACTGCAGTGGACGCCGGCTGTTTTGCCATCTGTCAATCACCAACCCTCCCAGTCCCTGCAGTCTGCGATTCACACCCACACTTACCCTAGGTGGTACTGAGGGCTATGTCAGGGCACGTGACCCAGAGCTGGCCAATCAGGACTCTGCAACCATTCTACAACAGCGATTGGCCAGCAGGCCAGCAGGTGACCCAAGTCTAGCCAATCACAAACCTGACCCAGAATTCCCACTAGCTCTGGGGGCGGGGTAGGGTGGGCTAGTACACTGCCTTTTCATCTCCTTTAAGGGCCAGTTATAGGCTCCCCCCCCCCACCCCACCCCCGTCCCCCTCAGATACAGTCCTGACTGGGTGAGCTGCTGGCCTTTGCATACTCTGCCAGGGAAGCTGACTTGATCAGTGAGCCGAGGAGCTCATCTCAGGCAGGCAGCATCTCATATAAGTCATCCTTTGCCTCGTTCCCCATCACTCCTCCTGGCTCAGTTCTGGTCTCAGCCAGGAACAGATCAAGAGTCCCGGCTGTGCCCAGTAGGGCAGCGAGGGAGGCCTCTATGGCATGCTCACTGCGTGGGTCACAGCCTTCTGTCACAGCCCACAGTGTCCACTGGTTACTGACCATGGGCAGTAACCCGAGGCAGAGGCAGGTAGGGCTCACCCAGGTCTGGACGCCTCCACACCCCTCCGCACCTCCCTCGAGATGGTCCCTTAGCTGCCTTCTGCCTGGAGGCTGCAATCTTTGCCAGGTGCAGAGGATGAGCCGTGGCTTTTAGTCGGCAGACTCAGCCCACCTACTCATCTCTGCGCCTACCCGGGGCCAAGACTCCTGGGGTCACTGTGAAAGTGAATGCCCCCACATAGGCTACCAGCCCCATCCTCACTTCTCTGCCCAGGCCAGCTTGGAAGACAGCCTAGAGAGTGGCTTTGTTACAACTTGGGGTTGCTGGGATCCTGCAGGCCACAACAGGGTCTTTTTAGAGAATGCTGTGGGTGTTCCTAAGAGCAAGTGTGAGGTACCTTGGTGTTCCTCAGTGTCTGCCATTTAGGATGTGCTTAAGAAATGTAGGTGACTGACACTAAGGAGTGCCCAGCAGATCCCATGCAGAGCTCTGCAGCACACACCAGAGATGGCCTTTCGTCAACTGACCAGCAAATGTCACTGGGCTCTGAGGCAACATCTTCCTTTCCTTTAGCACCCCTTTAAGAACTCCGTATTTTCAGGGGCCCTGTCTCAATCCTGCTCCCTTCTGTCTGTAAGCACCCCTGCACCCATGGAGTAACATACTTAAAAAACAATGCTACCCAGAGTAACTCTTGCTAAAGTGTGAATGACTGTCGGAGACAATGCATCCCAGAGCTGACTCAGCAGAAGGGTGAAAGCCCGAGGCTGAGAGCAAGGCCAAGAGGAAGAGTTAGTGATAAGGGTGCCTCGACCACTGCCCTGGCCCCGGCACCCCCCAAATACTACCCTGCTTCCTACTAACTATGCCCCAAGTGAACGATGCTATTCCCTCGACAATGGAGGGAAGCTGTGAGTGTTGATCCCCTGCTAAAGTTACCTACTTCCATGTTCCCCAGCAGTTTCAGGAGACACTAGGTCTAAGCCTGCCTGACAGCCAGCCGTGGGAAGATGCCAGCTTTTCCGTTCTTCCCCCCTCCCAACTCAGCCAAGGACAGTCTCGGGTAGATGCTTCACTCTATTTTTCAACCCCAAGGGTTGAACCCCGAGCCTTTGCACTGAGCTACATCCACCCCGTCCCCGCCACCTCTCCCCGTGCTTATTTTTAAATTTTGAGACAGATTCTAAGTTGAACAGGTTGGACTCAAAATTGTGATCCTCCTGACTTAACCTCCCAGAGTGCTGGGATCACAGGCATGCAGCCCCAACACCCGGCCAAGTCCCCAGTCTGGAATACACAGCTCCTGCTGACCCTCACTCTCCCCAGTCATGCATCTTCCCCAGCCGCCTCATTTGCCAGGGATGACAGCCAGGGCTGAGTTCATGCTGAGCACCACTAAGTCCCTGCTCTCCGCCCCAGCCATGGTCTTCACTGAGTCAAAACCCCTCTCAGGTAGTGTGGGAAGCAGATGGAGGCAACTGTAGGGCTTCTTGAACCCAGAGCCTTTTCTCTGGTACCAGGAATCAAACTCATGACCGAGAGTTTGCCAGGCATGCACTGTGCCGGTGGGCTCTATCCCTAGTCCCAAGCTCAGAGCCTTTGCGAGACAGAGAAACAGACCAACAGTACCTGCATTCATTTAGTGACAGTGACACAATCACCTGGAAACAGACTGAAGTCCTGAAGCTGCTGAGTGACAGCACCGGGGCTGGAACCCAGGAGTCCTCCATCCCAGCCACCTGTCCGTCCTCTTCCCACTTCCTTGTGGGGGCTCTCCCTTTTTGTCCCCCAAATTTACCTGTACCGATATCCCAGTGTTCCCTAGGGAGCTATTCCAAGAAGTTTTTGGGTCAATACTGGCTGAGGGGGTTGGGTCAGGCTTGAGCCTGGCCAATCACAGCTATGCACTGTCTAGCAACAGTGACTGGTTCAAACCGGGTGTGGTGGCGCACATCTGTGATCCCAGCACTTGGGAGGCTGAGGCAGGAGAATGGCTGCAAGTTCGAGACCAGCCTGGGCTACAAAGTGAGCTCAAGCCAGCCTGAACTGCATTGTGAGACAATCTCAAAAAGACAAAACAACAACAACAAAATAGTGACTGGTTCCGACATAGGCAAGGGAACCACCAGACAGCATCTAGACACAGCCCAGGGGACCCAGCCGGTGAGATCCTCCACTGAGGAGATGCACCTTGTTTGTTAGCCATGAAGACCTGAGCCCCAGGCTGCCGAGATTCCCTACAGGGACCCTGAGGATAAAGGTCACGCAACAGAAGTCAAGAGATGAGGGATGGAGAGAGAAACTGGGTCCTGATGACATCTTCTGCACACCTGGATCAAGCCTTATCTGAGGTCCCAATGATCCTGCTTTTTTTCTGGACAGTGCATTTACACTATTAGACTAAATCAGTTTGCTTTAGGGCTTCTTTCCCATGGCACTGATAAAGGACACTGCACCAGAGTGGCCCCTCCTGCGTCTGAACAGTCACAGAATCTCCAGGGTAAAGGAACACAGGGTGTGCCGCCCGCCTCCATGTTACCTGGAGCCATTGCTGATGAGGATGCTCTCTCGGATGGTCAGGGTGCAGTAGTACCACACCAGCAGGAAGTTGAAGACTTCGTCCGTCACCCTGGGGTGCGAGGGGAGTTGCATGAGAAGCAAGGACAGCCACCTGCACTCACCCTGGCCCAACCCAGGGGTCACCTCCCAAATTGGCCAGGACCCAAAGGGGAGCAGCAGGAGCCCTTTGGCATCGAAGGCCCTTTGCCCTCTCAGCCCAGGGCGATCTGGCCGTCTCTCACATGCTTCCCACTGATGGGAAGCTTCTGGCAGGATGGCACAGGGCCTATTTGCTCATTTCGTGTTTTGGTTTTATTGAGACAAGGTCTCACTATGTGGCCCAGGGAGGCTTTGAACTCAAGGTGAGCCTCCTGCCTCAGCCTCCCCATGCTGGGATCAGGTGTGCACCGCCATGCCTAACTCAGCTGGCCTTGAAGAATGGGAAACTTACTATTTTAGATAAGGCTCCCTGGAGGGCTAAGATGTGCATTTCAGGTCCCCCCAAAGCTGAACAGGCCTCAAACGTGGACAGGCAAAGACAAAAAAAAAAAAAAAAAGTGGCTAGGCAGGAGCCAGATATGGGGCACACGCCTATAATCCCAGGACTAGCAGAATGGGACAACAGAATCATCAACTCAAGCGCAGCTTGCACAATTTAGTGAGACGCCGCTGTCATAAAATAAAAAATATTTTCTAAAAGGTTGGGGATGTAGCTTAGGGCCACGGTCCCAGGCTCAATCCCCTGTGCTGGGGAGAAAAAAAAAGGCAGACAGGCAGCTGGAGCCTTCCGGGTTCAAGGGGGACGGGGGGGGGGGGTCATCCAGAGACCCACCTGCCTCAGCTTACTACCTTTAAAGCGGGAAGCTGACCCCCTCTCAGAGCACCCCTGGTAAAGGGTTCTGGAAGACACACAGTGACACACGCCCCTCCCTCTGAGGTGCCCCTGATAAGCTCTGATGAGGGCTCTGTCCTTGACCCCAGTGGGGATGATCCCTCCAGTGTCACCCAGACGACAGCCTGGAAGAACGGACAGCGGACAGCATAGGCAGGGGCTGTCTGCACGCAGAGGACAGAAGAAAGCCCTGCTTCCTGCTCCCTGACCCTGAATGGAGGAAGACCCCACTGCAACGGCCTAGGATGGGCAAGGAGAATGGGCAAGCTAGCGACTGTGCCTTGGGGTGGCCGAGGTTGGTCACTTTCAGCCCAAGAACTGGAGATGGTCCTGGGAGACCAGCAAGTTCTGGAATCCCAGACCCTGAGTTCAGATCCTGAACCTGCCCCTTGCTAGAGTGACTCTCCTGAGAAGACACTTGTCACCGAGAAGACACTTGTCACCCACAAAGCCAGGAGCAAGGGCACCTACTGAGCGGGTTGCTGTGGGTAGCAGCAGAGTCTCACATACCACATGTTCGGGCCAGTGCCCCCGGCAGTGTTTCTGTCCTAACTCCAGAAAATGCCACCCTGGCCACGGTAGGAAAAAGGAGGCTCAACAGCTTATTACTGAGAAAACCAGAGTTCTCGGGAGTTGGACAAGAAGTGCAGGAGGCAGGCACATCACTCATTCTCTAAGGCGCCCAGGCTGAGCTTGAACTTGAGATCCTCCTGCCTCAGCCTCCCAGAGTGCTGGGGTCACCAGCATGTCCCCATCGTACCTTGACTTCTCGTTTCTGGCCTTCAGGACCGAGAGGGCATAATCCTGTTGTTTTAAACCCTGATGGAACTGTTACTTGATTAGGGCAGCCCAGGGCATCGCAGCAGGAGGGAAGGGGCGAGGGGAGACAGGGTGCTTGACGTAACGCTGAGCATGTGACAGCTCATCACAGGATCCGTGCAGGACCCTGGAGGGCCCAGCGCAAGGACACTGGCTGCACACCAAGAACTCTCACCCCTTTCTGGAGGTGCCATGAGCGGGCCTTGCTGGTGAGTGCAGCCTTCACCCTGGGGCAGCTGGCTGGGCTCAGGGCCACACAAGTGGCACAGGCAGCAGCAGGACTCTCAGCTGAATGCCGCCAGCACACAGACCCTGGACTCGCAGGCCACAGGCCCAGCTGGGCTTGGCCACCTCCCGAGGGGCAGAAAACACAGGTGGGGGGCGGGGGGAGCACAGGGCCAGGCCCATGGGGACACTGTGACCTCACTACACGGTCTCAGCCCACCAGGCACGGCCTGCTGTGGCCTCTGCTGGCAGACAGGGAGACCAGGGCCCAAGAGGGGACCCGTACATGGGGACAGCCCATCCCAAGGCTAAGACTTAGTCAGGCCGTCTGCTTTGCTCTTTCTCTTCTTTTAATAGCTGAGATGTAATCCGCATAACACAAAATTTACTCTTTTTCTGCAGAACTGGGGATCAAACCCAGAGCCTTCATATGAGCTACAAGCCTAGTCTTTTTATAACTGTTTTGTTTTATACAGAATCCCCCTGGGTCCCAAAATTGCCCAGACTGGACTCAAACTTGTGATCCTCCTGGCTCAGCCTCCTAGATTGCTGAGATGCCAGGCAGGCACCACAGGGCCCAGCTAAAACTCACCCTTTTAAAATGTGCAACTAAGTTGTTATGTTCACAGAATTGTGTAAATCACCACTACCTAACTCCACTACATCTGTATTGCTCCAGAGAATTCTGAGCCAGGCGTAGTGGTGCACGCCTGTAATCCCAGCACTTGGGAGGCTGAGTCAGGAGGTCCACTTTGAGTCTGAGATCAACCTGGGCTATGTAGTGAGTTCAAGGTCAGTGTAAACTATATAGTGAAACCCTGTCTCAAAAAACCAAAAAAATTTTTAAAAATTTTTAAAAAGAAAGAAACCCTGTAACACATCAACAGTCTCTCCCTACTGAGCTACTCTGACTCCACGGATTTTCCTGTGTGGACTTGTACACATGGCCTTTTACCCCAGCGTCCTGCTGTGGGCAGGCTGCTGCCTGTCATCCGGCTGGAGCACGGGTCCTGCCCTTTCTATCTTACAGCAGGATACCGCTCCTCTCCACGCTTAGAGCACCCCGCCCCCCTGCTGCCTCCCCTCCCCTGCCCCTCCTCCTGGAGCCCCGAAAGCCCCTACCTGTAATGGAGCACAAAGCGGCAGGCCACAGCCCCCAGGAGCAGGATTATGGTCAGGTAGAGCTTGAATTTCTCATACTCATCCTTATAGGCGAATCTGCCACAACACACACCCCCGGGAAGGTCACACAGGATGCTCACTCTGCTCCCCAAGGCCAGGGGCAGATCTCAGCCCCCATCCGGCCCCAGACCTGGTGCCACTGCCCCATCCCAAAGGACCTGCCATCCCTCCCCGAGATCTGGCCTTGAGCGGGTGACAACCAAGAGGGAAAGAGGGTCAACTATAAAAGGTCCCTCTGTCCGGAGTCCCCCCACCATCCGGAGCCTCTGTGCCCTCCTCCCTGACCAAAAACAAATGCCAGGGCTCACAGTCCACCTGGAAATGGACTGACACAGATGGACAGCAGGCCCTGCTTCCTGTGAGAAAGGCTGTGACAAGCTCGGAACAGAGCAGGGGCCACTGTGGAAAGGGGGAGTTCTGGCCACCATATAGTGACCCTGGGGAAGGACAATGGCAGGCGGGGGCGTGGCTCGCAGCAGAGCACCTACCCAGCTCGCAGCATGCAAGAGGCCCCGAGTTTGATCCCCCACCATGAAAGAAGGAAAGGAAGCAAAGTTCCCCGTGCTCTAGCCACTGAGGACGGGGGGCTCAGGGAGACCAAAACCCACTGGCCTGTCCTAATGTCTGCACAAGCCCAAGCACCTGGGCCCCTGGGGGGAGGGGTACGCACTTGGCCTGGTTGCTGAGCAGGGTCACGTTCACATTGCCGAGGACCAGGTTCAGGTAGAGCCTGGAAGACAGAGTCGGGAGGGCCAGGCCGCTGAGCCCCAGACCGCACTCAACCAAACCTACGTGTGTGGCAGGTACTCATCGGCAGAAAACAGGGTGCTCAATGGGCGGCCACAAGCCCCCCATCAGGGGACAAAAGTGATTAACCACAGGCATTGCCAACAGTGTGCACACTGAACCCACTTCCCAGGGAATTTGCCCCAGAACCCCCAATTCCCAGCCTCCTTTAAAGCCAGAGGTAGCGTGATGAAGTTCCAGCCAATGAGACAAAGGCACACGTATGATCACTAATTGGAACAGGATGTTCTTCGGCTGGATGTGATGGCACACACTTGTAATCCCAGCACTCAGGAGGCTGAGGCAGGAGGATCACTGAGAGTTAGAGGCCAGCCTGGGCTACACAGTGAGTTCAAGGCCAGCCTGGACAACAAAAAGGACACTCTTTAAAATTAAGCCCTGGCCATGTGTTCTCTCTGGCATAGTGGTCCCCACTGATGCTGTAAGGTGTAATCTCTTACTTTAACTTAGCCCAAATCTGCTCCACACAGTGTTTCTTTTCCTATCTTAAATAAAATGTAAACTTGCTACCAAAAAAAAAAAAAAAAAAATAGATGTAACCTTCACAAGTATGTCTTAAGTGTCAGCATCATGACTCTTCTTTTGGAGACAGGGTCTCGCTCTGTAGTTCAGGCTGGCCTTTAATCTATGGAGACTCTCCTGCCTCAGCCTCCTGAGCGCTGGGATTACAGGCATGCGCCACCAGGCCTGTCCTCTTTTGCCTGTTTTTGAACTTCACATAAATTGCAGCGTGTGGCACCTTTCAGTCTGGTGGCTCTCACTCAGGGGCGCACCTGGGAGCAGCCCCTGTCACACATACTTCCCTACCTCCCTCGTTACTATGAGCAGTACTCCACTGAGTAGAATGACTACCACTGATTTCGTTTTCCTGCTGTTGAGTGTTTGAGTATCCAGTTTTTGTTTTTTAGTTTAGTTTTTTGATGCATGCGGAGAGTACTGAGAATCTTCTCTCACAAGCCAGACCTAGAGTGCACACCTAGCATTCGGGAAGCTGAGGCAGGAAGACTGCCAAAAGTTTGAGGCCATGCTGGGCTACATAACGAATTCAAGGCCAGCCTGAATTATATAATGAGACCCTTCCTATAACAAAAGTTTTTAAGTTATAAAAAGGGGCCAGCGATTTGGCTCAGTGGCATAAGTGCCTGCCTGGCACATGTGAGGCCATGAATTCGATTCCCAATACAAAAAAATAAAAATAAAAAAGTTTTTAAAGGGCTGGGGGTGTAGCTCAGTGGATAGGCTCTGGAGTTCAATATTCAGTATCCTCCCAAAAAAATCTAGTTTTAGCAAATTTTCAACGTAAGCCAGGCAGAGAGGCACATCCTTGTAATCCCAACACTCAGGAGGCTGAGGCAGGAGGATTACTTCAAGTTTGAGGCCAGCCTGAGCTACATAGTGAATTCAAGGCCAGCCTAAACTACATGATGAGGCCCTGACTCAAAAAAAAAAAATTTTTTTTCAGAGTCAAGGATATAGTTCAGTGACAAAGTGCCTCCCTATTAAGTGCAAGCTGCTGAATTCCATTCCTGATACAAAAAAATGCTAGTTATAGTCTTCATGCTGTACACTAGATTTCTAGATTTATCCATCCTGCAAAACTGCAAGTTTGTTGTCCTTGAAACCCCTGCCCAGGCTGGGAATATAGCTCAGTGGCACAGTGCAAGGTCCTGAGTTTGATTCCCAGTACTAAAAAAAAAAAAGGAGGAAAAAAACATGTCCCCATCTGGCCCAGTCCCCTGCGACTGGATACAACTCTTTCCGCCTCTTTTTTGTGTTTTCGGTTTTTACTCTTTTTTGATTCTACATTCAAATGAGATCATGCAGTACGGTTCTTTTAAATCTGGCTTAATTCACTGCGCATAAGGTTCTCCAGACTCATCATGTGTTTTCTGCTTTTGGCTGTGAACACACTTTCTGAAAAAAAAAATTGAGGCATAATTCATATGCCATTAAATTCAGCCCTTTAAAGTACACAGTTCAGTGGTTTCCAATACGCTTAATGTTGTACAAGCATCGCCATTCCGGAACTGTATTACCTTCCTATCAGGCGAAAAGACCTCCACCCCACTAACAGTCTCCTTACCTCAATCCCCCCACACCCCGCAGCCTGGCACCTACTCTCTGTCCCTAGGAACTTGCCCATTCTGGACGTCTCCTATGAGCACAATCACACACCGCTGACCTTTGTGTCTGGCTGATTTGCTGTGAGCGGTCTCATGCCCAGGTCATACAGGCGTAGACTCACTGTACCCATAACTACCCAGGAGTGGAATTTCTGGGTCCCTCTGTGCGTGTGTGCACGCCCGCGCGACTAGCTTCTGTAGGAAACACAAGTGTTATTTGCCGAGACATGCTTGTACTCACAAAGGTGTAAATAAAGGGCGGTAGCACCTCAGGGAGAAAGGATAAACTGCAGAGGGACAGAGGCTTGCAAAGACTTCGCTGAGGTGGTGACTTTTTTTTTTTTTTTTTTTTTTTTTTTTTTGTCTTTTTCCTTTTTATCGGTACCAGGGATCGAACTCACGACTGCCTACTTGCAAGGCAGGTTGCTTATGCCGCTGAGCTAAACCTCCAGCCCAAGGTGGTGATATTTTGAAATGGCTTTTAAAGAATAAGCAGAGTTTAAAGGGAAAAGAAAATAGAAGGACATTTTTTTCCCTAGCTGTGAGTGGACTTTCAGAGCACGTCCAGTCTGCTGGAACCAGACAAGAAATCAACCTCTATTTCCTACAGCAGTAATGCAGCGCTCTTCAGAGAATCACACTTACCCGCCAAGCCATAGAGAAAAGCACATGACCATGGCTCAGCCAATCAAAACAGGGTGTCCTATGGCTTTAAGAATGATCATGTAACCAACCTCTAAGGGAAGGCACATGACCACAACTCAACCAATCAGAGCAGTACATCCACCTGACTGGTCTATAAATGGTCATGTAACACAATCTAGGCCAGGGAATCAGCCTAGGACTCTTCCCATAACCACTTACTAGAATCACTAAACAAGTAGACCTGGAGGGTGGGGGGGTTTATAAAGTTCATAAAGTCTAAGGAGGGAATGTATACACTAGGAAAGAAAGCTGTTTAAGAGTTTCTAACAGTATCACTGGAGTAGCAGGATCCAGCCAAAACTAAAGCTATAGCTGGACTTTTAGTTAACCGGAGCCAATGAATCCTTTTTTTTTTTTTTTAATCTTTTTGAGACAGGGTCTCCCGAAGCAGTTCAGGCTGGCCTTGAGCTCACTTCATAGCCCAGACTTGTCTTGAACTCTTAATGATCTGTCTGTTTCAGCCCCTAGAGCGCTGGGATTACAGGCATGCGCCACCATACCCAGCTAATTCGCCATTCTTTTTTTCTTTTAAAATTTTGACTTAGATTTTATATCATTTGTAACATAAAGATTTCTGACTATTGTAAAATGCATGAGGAATCCTGCAGGGAGAGAGAATCGGGGAGGGAGATCAGAGCACTACTGGGAAAGAGGGTCATGACTGTTCCACTCTGGAGAAAGTGACTGCCAACTCCTGGCCTGGTCACGCTTGAGCTGCGCCCCCAAGCCAAGAGCTCACTCAGGACTCCGAACCTCCGGGAACATGGGCAGCTGAGGTTAAGTGACCAGCATGGTGGGTGCTGCCAACACAGAGCTGGATGGGGGTGGGGCAGCAGGCACTCAACACGGCTTGGTTCACCCGGAAGGGAACACCTCCCTCTGCACCCCCGGTGGCACCTGTGGTTACCAGGGGCTGGGACCTCACAAGAGTCTTTTCAGTGCTGAGGGCTTGTCCCGGGCAGGAAGAACATGCGGGGCTGTGCCCCCCTCCTCTGTCCTCACTCCCCATGCCACTGTGCATCTCAGGCCTAGGCTGCCGCTCCTACCCATTCTTCTTGGGCAGGTAGGCCTCCATGTCGAAGAAGATGTTCTGCCGTTCCTTGATGTATGCACGCATCTGCTGGACCAGCTCGGCCTCCTCCGAACCTGCATGGCGCTTGTACCTGCGGTGGGAGGGAGGCAAGCAAACATCACTCGAATGGGGAAGGGGCTGAACCTCCAGGGCCTCACCCTCAGTCCACTGCCCACAGCTCACACCTCAGTCCTGTTTGTTTTTGTTTCTCTGCGGCTGGGGACTGCACCCAGGTACATCACACTGGCTACATCCCCAGCCCTTTTTAAAATTTAAAACAAAAAAATTTTTTTAAATTGTGAGACATGGCCTCACTAAATGGACCAGGCTGGGCTCCAATTTGAAATTCTCCTGTCTCAGCCTCCAAGAGTGCTGGAATTACAGATCTGTACCACCATGCCCAGATGCTGCTTCTAATCTGTATCTTCTGGGCACCTACCTGGCTCCCCCAGCACTGTGATCTTGGCAACCTCCTTGAATCTCTCTTCCTTGTTTTCTAGGGGTTACAGTGAGGCTTACCTGCCAGACAACAGCCTGTGAGGAAGACTGGGTACCCGCAGCAGAGAGCTCTCAGGGTAATACTTGGCAGGTGGCAGGGACTCAGTGGACCCTGGCTGGGAAAGCATTCCCTTCACGGCTCTCTAGGAAGAGCCCAAAGTTTACTAAGTGGAGACAGAGGCCTGTGAGGCCAACAATAGAAACAGACAGTTTTCCTCCCGTCTGGGTAGCCAGGCCACTAGGAAGGACGCCATCTCAGTGACCGGGAGGACACAGCCTGAGAATGAAGCCAAACTAGAGAAAGGCAGAAATGAGAAGGAAAAAAAAAATTTCAACAAACAACCTCTGATCCCTGGATCCACTGAGGCCTGAAGCTATTCTTAGTTTTTTTCCATTAAAATTTCCGTTCTCTGTTTAAACCTCTTTTGAGTTGAGTTTTGGTTCCTTAAAACCAGAGATGCCTTAGGCTGGGTGTGATGGTGCACATCTGTAAACCTGGCACTCAGGAGACTGAAGTGGGAGGTCTACCACAAGTTTAAGGCCAGTCTGGGCTACACAGGAAGCCAATGTGTCTAAAAAATTTTTTTTTCAATTTTAAAAAGGTAGCAGCATATGACTATAATCCCAGCTACTAAGGAGGCTGAGACTGGACAGTCACGAGTGCAAGGCCACCCTGAGCAACTCTCATAGCAAAACTCTATCTCAAAATAAGTAAAAAGGTTCAGGGGCATAGTTCTGTGATAGAGTAGCCATGGGTTCATTCTCAGGCACAGGAAAAATAAAAATAATTTTAAAATCGGCTGAGGCTATAGCTCAGCACTTCGCTTCACATTTCATTCCCACCTACCTCTGGAGCTCCAGCCACAAGTCCTTGAGACGCTTCTTCTGTTTGTTGATTGACCCGCTACACAAGGTCTGTAAGGCAGTCAGTTCCTCCAGCTTCTGCTTGTAGATCCTGTGCGTCTCCTGAAGGACAGGTGTGGGAGAACATGACCAGGTCAGGGGTCAGGGGACACGACACCAGAGGGCTAATGCCCTCCAACTACCAAGCATATACCTTAAAAAATCAGACAGGAATTGGGGAAGTCAGCCCAACCCAGCATCTGTGTCTGTAACTTCCCAGGTCCCACTCCTTCTGATAAGAATAGCAACCAACTATGATTACGTGAACCAATCACCCAGGGTGCACTTCCAGCCAATTCCCAGTACAGAGGGTTTTGGGTGAAGCTAGACGTTCCTGCCTTCAAGGTAGTCATATGATTCACGATAACCAATCAGAGTCTACCAGCACCCTGGCAGTTGATTGGTTCAAATGGGAACACGTGGTTCCTGCTGACCAATGAGAGCCAGCCCTGGGATTCTGGCTGGAAAGCCTGGTACTCAGATGCTCTTCTGCACTGGTGACTCTTATGCTTGGGCTGTGGTGAGTTGGGGCAGCCTTCTCAGAAATTCAGCCAGGCAGAAATAGAGAGTTGAAAGTAAGAGACGAAATTCCTACAGTATCATTACAGCTTAGAAATGGTTTGTCTCCCAAAGGTTCCTAGGCTGGAAGCTGGTCCGCATGTAGTAAGTAGGTCGGAGAGGGGGTGGAACCTTTAAGAACCAGGACTAAGTAGGAGGTAATAATTAGCACCCTGGGAAGGGACTCTTACCCATCTAGCTTGGGTGGCTTAGATCTCACAGGACTGGGTCAGTATTCTCGAGAGTGGCTCCTTTAGAAGCAAGCCTGGTACCTCCCCTTGAGCGTTTCTCAAACTGAGCTCCGGTACACGCACCACTCGCTACTCACACACGCTCCGCCCATGGGGTACCATCTGCACCTCATGACAGCTTGAGGCCTCTGCTGGATGTGTCCTGAGCTTGGAGTCTTTGTCCTCGGAAACCATGAACCAAAATACACCTCTGTTCCTTACCAAGTAACCAGTCCCGGGTATTTTGTTACAACAACACAAGATGGGTTTCAGCTCTTACTCTTGGTAAGTCTGAATGGCAGGCTGTCCAATGCTCTAGATTATAGGATTCATTCCTTTTCCCTTCCTGTTCACTTCGAGTTGCATTTCCAACCCAGGCGAGGAAGAGTGTTGTAGGAAAAGCACTTATCTCTTCCCTTCCTTATCTTAGGGCCACCCTGCCTATCCCAGATACAGTCACTCGATAAACTCAGTATCCCACTCTTGCAAATAACCATTTGGGGCCACAACAAGACATTTTGTTCCAATGCTGGAAGAATGGAACATGTTAAGTTCTTTAACACCTGCCAATAAACTATACCTCTAGAGATGAGGGGTGAAGAACATGAAATTAAAATCACCAGGCCAGTGGGCACTGGTAAAGTGGCCAGTTCCTTAGCTGGTAGAGAAGACATGTGTTTACCAGAGGGAGCGAAAAGGGGCAGTCGGACAGTGAGGACAGAGCCTAAAGCCTCATGCCTTCTGAGCAGAGTCCCCAGATAGGAAAGTTAAACCAGTCAGGCATGGTGTTGAAGGGAGGCTGAGGCAGGAGAATCACAAGTTCGAGCCCAGCCCAGGAAACTTAGCAATTTAGCAAGACCCTGTCTGTCAAAACAAAGCAAAATGAAATGAATTAAACCAGAGGAAGACAGGAAACAGAAATGAGAAGGAGTAAAGACAAGGAAGTGAGCAGATGACCATAAGAAGCAAGTCACTCTGCCACTCGGCTGGAAAGGGCAGAGTCCTTTGGAAAACCATGCTCTCCTTTTCATTTGACCTTTAAAATATTTTTTCACTACTGGACTTGAACCCAGGGCCTTCACACTGAACCACATCCCCAGCTAAATTACCAAGTCACCCAGGGTGGGTTTGAACTTGACATCCTCCTGCCTCAGCTTCTCCAAGTGCTAGGATTACAAGTGTGTGCCTCCATTTACCGCTTTACAATAACTCCGTTACCCTCAGCTCTGTGGTGATTTAATACTTACACACTCTTTACACATCAATTACACATAGAAAGTTGGTCACTACCGGGCATTGTGATCCTCTGGACAGGAGGATTTACAGAGTACTTGCTGTGACCCTCCTGCCTCAGCCTTCCACGTATTGGGATTACAGGTTGCACCACCACACCTGTCTGAGACCCTGTTCAAAATACTTTTTTTTTGCGGCAGAGATTCATTATATGGTTCAGGCTGACCGTGAACTCACTATGTGAGTTAATGAAGTTATTTTAAAATAACTTCAATCTTGCAGAATTTTAAAAATGATACAAATCTCTGTTTTTACCCTTCCCCCAGGTTCACCATTTGTATCATGCTATACATATTTGCTTATCTCCTGTGTGTGTGTGTGTGTGTGTGTGTGTGCATGCACATGTGTGAGACTCTGTGTGTCTTTCCCTAGAGCAGTCATCAATAAACCAACCACAGCCCACAGGCCAAATCGAGCTACCTAGTTTTGCACATAAGATGCAACTGGGTTTTACAGGGTTGAAAACCACTCAGAAGGATATTTCACCACTGGTGAAAACAACGTGCTTTTGGAGTTGCAGCCCTGGCCAGTGTTCCTGGCACAGCCACGCCCACTCTTTACACAAGCTCTGTGGCTGCTTGGGCGCTGCAGTGACGGGTAACTGGTTACGACAGAGCCCATTTGGCCCCAAACCATAAATCTCTGTTATCTGGGCTTTTACCAGAAAACTTTGCCTATTCCAGTACCAGCCCATTCTGCAGCTGTGAACACCATGGTTCTTGAGAACATCTGTCCCAGAAACAGCATATCTCTTACATGTTCAGATACAACGGTCAGATACAGGGAATTAAACCCAGGATAATGCCCTCCTGTGCCACCCCACTCACATTTTGCTGGCCCCTTTGTAACTCTTTTCCTCCGACCCTGGGGTCCCATTCAGTTTCATGCCTTATAGAACCACTAATATCTTTAATGTCCTTCAACAGGGAACAGTGCCTCGAACGCTTTCAAGAACTACCACTTATTTTTGTGGTCCCAGGGACTGAACACTCAACCACTGAGCTGCATCCCCAGCCCTTTTTTATTTTGAAACAGGTGTGATGGCACATGCTTGCAATCCCAGCACTCGGGAGGCTGAGGTAAGAGGATCACTGTGAGTTCAAATCCAGCCTGGCTACATAGTGAGTTCACGGTCAGCCTGAACCATATAATGAATCTCTGCCACACACACACCAAAAAAAAGGTATTTTGAACAGGGTCTCAGACAGGTGTGGTGGTGCAACCTGTAATCCCAATACTTGAAGGCTGAGGCAGGAGAGTCACAGGAAGTTCTCTGTAAATCCTCCTGTCTAGAGGATCACAACACTCGGCAGTGACCAACTTTCTATGTGTAATTGATGTGTAAAGAGTGTGTAATTATTAAATCACTGCAGAGCTGACGGTATGATTCAGTGGAACAGTGTGTGACTATCATTCTTAAGGTCCTGGGTTCAATTCCCAGCACCAAAAATTAATAAGTACATAAAATGTTCAGTTATCTGTGTGAAGGGAGAGACTTTTTAATTCTTTAGAGCCGGGTATGGTGGCACGCACCCAAAATCCCAGCACTCAGAAGGCCAAGGCAGGAGAATCTCCTGAGTTTAAGGTCATCCTGGGCTACATAAGTAAATTCAAGGCCAGCCCGAATTTCAAAAAGAGATCCTGTCTCAAAAAAAAAAAGTCTTCAGTCATGACAGCCCTCTGTTGTCAATAAACATCAAGTGAGAGCCAGGCCTGCCGCTAATCCACCTACCTGGGAGGCTGAGGCAGGAAGATTACAAATTCAAGGCTAGCCTGAACAACTTAGCAAGACCCTATCTCAGAAAACAAAAAGGGCTGGGAATATACCTCTGTGGTACAATGCTTGCTGGATTCAATCGCCTGCACCACTGAACAAGTAAAGAAATTAAATAATCAAAAATAAAATACCAAGTGTGGTGGCACACACCTATAATCTCAGTTCTCAGGAGGCTGAGGCGGGAGGATTGCTGTGAGTTCAAGGCCAGTCTGAACTACATAACAAGACTCTGTCTCAAAAACCCAAAAAATAAAAATAAAAATAAAAATAAAAACTCTCTGCTGGTAACAAAGGGAACCCTCCAGATCCACCTCGGGAGGACGAGGAAGACAGACCCCTCAGGAAGGTGGGGCACAGGAGATAAAGGGCTGCCTTTGGTGTCAGTTTCTACCACAGACAGATAAGAAGGGCTGCAGGACCAGCCACCAGATACGTGCCAGGGCCTCTTGGGGGAGTGTGTGAATATTTAATGTCACAAGTAAAACATGAAGACATTACCCTTGTTAAAAATTCAAACACGACACCTGCTGACATCCCCTTTGAATATCCCGAGAAGTCAGCTCCTCCCTCTTCCCTAGAAAGCTTTGCAACCCATTTTTCCTTCTGGTCATTTTTCTACGTTTTTTTCCAGGCTGTACTCTAAGCCTCTGGAGGAGGAGTGGGTTTTATTTGGGGGGAAGGGTTGGTTTTGTTTTGTTGAGACAGAATCACATCATGCAGCCCAAGGTGGCCTCCAACCCAAAACAATCCTCCTGTCTCAGCCTCCAATGCTGGGACTACAGGTGTGTGCCACCATCCCTAGCACTGGGTTTCTTTAAAAATAATTTTTAAAATTTATGCTTAGCATGTGCAAGGCCCTGGCTTCAGTCCCCAGTGCGCACACATGGGCACGCGCGCGCACACACACACACACACACACACACACTTGCATTGCTGAATGACTGACCTACACACTGTGAGCCATCCACATTTGGTGTATATAATGTGGTAAGTGTGGAGATAAGTGTAACCTCTGCATCTTTACGAGTCTTTGCTACAAACCTATCCATCACCTCTGAGGATTTCCTCCTGCCTCCTTCAGTTCTATTTACTTCCATAAAATAAGAACAGGTAACACAGAACATGTAACACAATGCTGGCCTCTTAGCACACCATTAAGTGTGTAACAGGGTAGTGAGAGCTGCAGGCACCTGCTGTGGAGTGGCTGGGGCTCTGTCACTTGCGTGACCACCACTGTGTACCCTCTGGCCACTGCGCCCTCCCTGCCTGGACGTCTGTTCTATTCAGAGCCATTTTCCTTTTCTTAGTGAAGCCTACCGTGCAGAGCACACCAGCCCCGGGCTCTGACATCCGTCTAGAAGTGGCCGCCCTGTGTAGCTGCTGCCTCTCGTGAAGGAAAACCCATAACGTGGAGCTGGGCAGTGGCACCATTTGTTCCTCACGGTGCTCATTCTCGCTAGAACCGCTTTTCAAAATGAGCATGAATGATCCCTACGTACATCTGTCATGACCCAAGCAACACCGATACATTCTGTCTGTTCCCCTTCCCCTCGTCGGTGTTGCCCCTCCCTCCAGCTCTGGATGGCTTTCCAAT